ATCTAGATAAGATCACTGCCTATCCGTCCCCTGCAGTGATTGGTGCCATCACCCATTTATGGATAATGTCCTCTTTTTCATTCAAGAATTGAGTTACTGATCAAAGGAACGCCTTTCCGTCCTTAAGGAGTGATCAAGGAAGGAACTGTATAGTGACTGTTTTTGGAGTGTTAACCCCAAACTGTATTTAGCATGTTATGATCTTTGCCTTGTTCAAGAGTCCTATAAATGTTACCTCAAATCATCTCAGGTTAGAGAGAGGCATCTCAGCATAGGAGGAACTATGCCAGGTTGAATCTCTCTCATCTAGGAATGGTTTGGATATAGCATAATGTTCTGCAGACTTGTGCCTCAAATTCACAGTAGTAATTTTTTTCTCCATGACAGTTTTGTCTTTACCTTTGTTTTTTTCTCATTTTAGGTAAAGGAGATTGGAGGCTATGATCTTGTAAGCCTCAAAAGGTCAAGAGATTGAGTCACCAGGTCTAGGAGTGAAGCCTATGCTAAGATTTGCAGCCAGCTTTTTTTTTTTCTTTGTGAGGCAATTGGAGTTGTGACTTGCCCAGGGTCACACAGCTACTAAGTGTCAAGTGTCTGAGGCTGGATTTGAATTCAGGTCCTCTTGACTCTATCAAGGCCAGAGCTCTATCCACTGTGCAACCTAGCTGCCCCTGCAGCCAGCTTTGAGGACTAGAGAAGCAACCCTTCAGGACCTAGCTCAGCAGTATTTGAGAGAAGAGGTTGAAGAACCCTCCATTAACATTCACCTAGTAGCAATGCTACATTTAGACCTGAACTTGGTGGGATCAATATTATGTAGAAATCGAATTCAGTTTGAGCCCATTCACTCCAGAGACCAAGGTGAAATATTGAGAAGGTTTGTACTTATGTTCTTGCTACATATCTTTGAGGTAATTGCTCAAATGGAACAAGGGTGCTAGTAACTGATGGCTAACAGTGGGGGACATCAGGGCATTGAAGAAGAGCTATCCCAACCCCTTAGGGATACCCCTAGAACTCTGAGGGAAGAGATGTAACCAGCTAGCTCCGGAAAAGTGAAGCCAAAGAGCTCAATATGCTGGCACCAAGTCTAAATTTGATGCTTTGCAGTTTCTATCTATCGTTCTTCATTTTGCTCTCTACGGCAAAACAGAATAAATCTAATTCTTTCACCAAACAGTCCTTCAAAGACCTGAAGGTGACTCTCATGTCCCCGAGTCTTCTCTTGAGTAAATAAGCCCAGTTCCCTCGGCCAATCCTTATATATCACAGCTGAACACAATACTCCAGGATTAGGTCCAACAGAAACAAAGAACAGAGCTCTACAGCTTCCCTATTCCTAGAAGCTATGCCCCCCCATCAATGCAGCCCAGGACTGCATTTGCCTTTTTAGCTACCACAGCACATAGCTGACCTATACTGATTTACAATCCACTAAAACCCTCAGATCTTTTTCTCAACAACTCTGTGCTTCCCTGTCTTCTACTTGTGAAATTGCTTTAATCTTTATTTTACTTTATTGTATCCAAGTGTAAATCTATCTCTAACTTTACCTTCTTCAATTCAGACCAATGCTTATCCAGATTCTTTTGGAATCTGATTCTGTCATCCACTGATGTTAGCTATCCCTCCCAGCTTTACGTTATCTGCAAATCTGGTAAACTTACCATCTGTACCTTTATCCAAGTTATTGATAAACACGTTAAAACAGCACAGGGCCAAACATAGGTTCCTATAATCCCCCACTAGAAACTTCTTGCCATGCTGGCATTGAACAATTAAATACCTGGAATCCAGCTAGCCAACCAACTCCAAAGCCATCTGAATGTCTTATTATCTAACCCATATTCCTCCATCTTCTCCTTATGACAAGTATGAGATACTTGTTCAAAAGCTTTGCTGAAACCCAGGTAAACTATAGCCACAGCATCCTTCTCATCTACTACTTTAGCAACCCTTTCCAAAAAGGAAATGAGGTCATCTAGCATGATATGTTTTTGATGAAGTCAAGCTGATTCTTTGTAAATTTGTTTTCCTTTTTAGATGCTTGCCATCCATATATTTAATGATTCATTCTAGAATTTTCCCAGGAATCTAAGTGAAGTTTATTGGCCTTCAGTCTGCAGATTCTGTTTTCTTTCCCTTTTGAATTTGGCAGGACATTTGTCCTTCACCACTTTTGGGGCATCTCTCCCACTTTCCACGATCTTTCAGATATCAATGAAAGTGGCTCTGCAATGGCATCTGCCAGGTCTTTTCACAGCCCAGGGATGTAGTTCATCAGTGCCAAATGACTTGAATTCACCAAGAACAATGAGGTGCTGTGATTTCATTATCTCCTTATCTTGTGTATCACCTCTCTGGTAGTCACTTTTTGCTGTTCATTTCCAGTATAAAGGTCATTCTCCTTTACAGAGAAAACAGAATGAGAATGGAGCAGCTCTTTCTCTTTATCATCAGTTAGTATCATTCCTTCTACCCCCAGCGAAGGTCTTATCCTTTCTTTTTGATTCTACTCCCCCCCCCAATATAATGGGGCTCAGTTGAAGGAGATGGACTAGATGACTTCTCAGATGCCTTCTGGTTCTAATTGTCCAATCTTACGTGGTACAGACTGCCTGGGCACTTGACCAGGCGTCCCGAGTGACAACTGAGGTGCTGCCACATAGTAAGAATTGCCCATACTTGGCTCACTTTCTCCTTTCTGCATGCCCCAAAGCAGGTTTTCACTTTATTAATTAAGTAACCAGATGGCAATACATGCAATCTCACAGTTCAGTGTTTTCAACAGCACATTATCCAGTGTGCATGTACAGGCTTTGCTAAGGCTACAGTATCTTCATGCCTTATCACAGGACACTGACTTACAAGCTTTTAGACTACTCTGAATAGACATATGGTTTGGGACATTCAGGGCTGACTCTGATTCAATTTTTATCTAGCGATATGAAAAAAGAAAATGGAACATTGTTCTGAAATATTAAATATAACAGGGAATTGATTGAGGAGGTCCTTGATCAGTTAAGTCCCCCAGTCCACTTGTTGAAATTATAATTTGAGACTTTCACATTTGCAGTTTGCATGGGTGTGGGGCAGAAAAGCCTTTTCAGATTTTTGAGTGGCCCCATCTGGAAAACATAAAAACCTTCCTCCTCTTACCCTCTCCTCCTCCCCCTCCAACATAAAATTAGAGAAATCTTGATTTGGCTCTTGTCCCTGCCATGTACATTCTGACCACCATTTCCCAATGCACAGGCAATCCAACAATGCAGCCATACACATTTTATCATACAAGGAAACAAAATGATGGTTAAGTTACTTGGTGGAGCATAGCTTTTTGCTTCTGCTCTCCAAATCTGGTGGTAGAAAGATTCTTCAAGTGGAAAGGAAGAAGAGATTTAGGGATTTAGGGAAATGTATACACTGACATATAGTTTTCTTTCTTTCTTTTTTTTGGCTAGGCAGTGGGGTTAAGTGACTTGCCCAGAGTCACATAGCTAGTGAGTGTTATGTGTCTGAGGCTGGATTTGAACTCAGGTCCTCCTGACTTCAGGGCCAGTGCTCTATCCACTGCACCACCTAGCTGCCCCTGCCCTACATTTTTCTACTTTCCAATGGCTTCCCAGTCAAAACTTCTACAAGAAGGCATAGCTAGCTGTCAGGAGCACATACTACATTAAACCCCTCTAGTATCTCCTCTTCACAAATTCCATGTTTAAGCCAGCTCTTCAAACTTAGCACTCCATCTCCAGAAATACTTTCCACTAAGGTGTCCTAGATGAAGACTTCTCTGATCCCCTCCCCCCATGTTGTCAGTTTTCTTTCTCTTCCTCAAATGACCTTGTATTATATTTAGCACACATTTTGTATTTCCTTCTCTCCCCCTGTCCCTAGTAGAATGTAAGTTTTTGAAGGACAGGGAACATCCTCTTTCTTAGTATACTCAGTGCCTAATATGGTGATTTGTACATGAGAGGTTCTTGATAAATGCTGAATTGAACTGAATTCCTGAAACTAGAGAGATTCCACACCACCACAAGGTCTCACACAACGGATGGCAATTAGGAGCCCAAAGGCCTCACAATAACGGTACTATAAAGTCCCACTGGACCCTACATAAATAGCTTTTAAGGCACCTTGGCCCAAGAACTCCAATATCAACATTTGTTGTTGTCATTCAGTCATTTCCGTCACCTCTGACCCTCTGTGACACCATTAGAGTTTTCTTGGCAAAGATACTGGAGTGGTTTGGCATTTCCTTCTCCAGTTCATTCATTTTACAGATGAAGAAACTGAGGCAAATGGGGTGAAATGTCTTGCCCAGGTCACACAACTAGGAAGTTTTTGAGGCCAGATTTGAACTCAGGAAGATGAGTCTTCCTGACTCCAGGCATGGTGCTCTATCTACTACATCACCTAGCTGCCCTAATATGAACCTAGAGCCTAGCAATTATGCTTATTTGAGCCCAGGGAAGTCATAATAACTTACCTCCCCCCATTCCATCTTGGTCCTGAGATTGCACAATACTCCCCCAATGAACCCAGCCAGGGGCCAGACACCCTACAGCGGTAGTCTTTGGCTCTCAGCCAGGCAGAGTAAAAAGTTCCTTCCCCCTCCTTTTCTCCAACCATGGTATTTGGGGTACAGGCTTCTCATTCTCCCACCATTCTTATTAACAAGGCAACTAAGGCTGGGAATAGACTGTTATGAATGGTGCCAGAATCAAGGGTAGTTCCTTGAAGCTCAGGCTACTCTCTTTCCCAAAGAGTTAGACTGGAGAAGAGAAGTGGCACATGGGTAGCTCCTGGACTGCTGTCTAGTCCTAATAAATAACTCAATCCAGTACAGAAATTTGGGAACATGTTTTTCAGAACCCCCAAGAATTCTAGGTCTCCTCCCCTGCCCCCCATCCCAAACTTGAACTCTGCCCCAAGTCTGGTTAATGAATTACCCATCTGCTTATCCACCCACCAAGGAGCCACTGACCCTGTGTTCCCCCCAGTTAATTGGTCATCTGCTACCCAAGAGGTGGGCAAACTGGATTTGTGGTTCCACTGATTGCCCTGATGCTCCCTTCCTTTGAGACTGCAGCCTAGGAGGCAGGCAGAATGCTTCGAACCAGCCAAGTACTACTATCTCGGGTTACCTCCTCTACGCAGGGCTCAGGAGCCCAGAGGCCAATTTTGCGGTTTGATGGGGAAGCATTCCGTCTCAAAAGGACAGGCGAACTAATCCGGGCCTTGTTAGTGCTTCGGCTCTGTGCATGGCCCCCACTGGTCAGTTATGGTCTAACGGTGAGTGTCTTCTGGTCCTCACCTCCAAGGGGAGAATTCTCTACCATATCCTCAATCCTAATTATAAGATAATTCTACAGAATTTTCCAATTGTAATTCTGTTTTTCCTTCTCCCTATCACCTAGCTTCTGTCTTGGTCCCGGAGGCTCCTGGGCTCCCGGCTATCTGGGGCACTACTTCGGGCTTCAGTGTATGGGCAGTTTGTGGCTGGGGAGACAACGGCTGAGGTGCAAGACTCTGTCCAGAGGCTTCAAAGACTTGGGCTGCGGCCACTGCTGGCTGTACCCACTGAGGAGGAGCCAGGGACAGACTGGAGAGGGTAAGAACATGGCTCAGGGGAGGATGAAATGTAAGATGGGGTTGAGCAGTTAAAGGAAGTTGGTGGGGATAAAAAAGGAGCGTTGGGGTTGAGGAGCCTAAAAGGAAAGGACCAGCAGGACCCTGACAAATCAGGTTCTCTTTCTGGTCTGCAGAGAAGCCTGGTATGAGGGAAACCTGAATGCTATGCTGCATTGTGTGGACCTGTCCTGTGGGCCCCCAGGATCTCTACCACCCCAGCCAGTCATCATGCAGCTCAGAGTGACAGCACTGACCAGTGCCCAACTCTGTGTAAGAGACCTAAGATGGGGAGAATTTGGGGGGCTAGGCCTAAAGCTGAATTCCTGAACTGTGTACCCCTTATCCCTTTTGCTCTTTTCAGAAAGAACTGACGCTCCGACTCAGGGAGACTGGGACTTCCAAAGAGCTAAGTCCTGAAAGGTTTGCTTCCACCATGGAAAGTGGTAAGGTGAGCACCTCCAACTACCTATTACCCCAAAGTTTTTATGAATGTCTCTCTGAAGCCCCCAAATCTGAGTTCTGCTTTCCCTCAGGACCTACAGATTTCCAGTCTCAGTCCTGAGCTGAATCAGCATCTCAAAGCCTCACTGAGCCGCTTCCATCGCATTGCTCAGGTAAACCTGAAACTCAGCCCCAATTCTTTTAAAGGTCTGAACTCTTACCCTTGCCCTCATTTTACACAAAGCCCTCATCTCTCCTATTGCTTTCTACAGTCAGAGTCCAGTGATCTCAGTCTCTTCTGTCCTCCTCCACAGTATGCCCGGAGCCAGGGTGTCCGGCTGCTAGTGGACGCCGAGTACACCAGTCTGAACCCAGCACTGACCCTGTTTGTGTCTTCCCTGGCTGTCCGTTGGAACTGCCGGGAGGAGGCTGATGAGGATGGGGCTCCCTGGGTATGGAACACCTACCAGGCCTATCTCAAGGTAACAGGAAGCCTGGGGAAAGGGAGTCCAAAAGCACTTGAGCCTATCATATCCCCTGCCTTCTCCACCATGTCAGGATACATATGAGCAGCTGAATCAGGCAGCAGAGGCAGCAGAGCAAAAAGGTCTGGGTTTTGGAGTAAAGCTGGTTCGTGGTGCATATCTGGATTCAGAGAGGGCAGTTGCTCAGCGTAACAGGACAGCAGATCCTACCCAGCCCAACTACGAGGCCACGAGCCGAAGGTAGGCAAAAGGGGTACTCTTACAGAGGGAATGAGGGTAGAGGCCTAGACTAGGTTTACCATGGGCCATGGACTCCAATGCCTTTCTTCCCATTCACCTTTTTTCCCAGTTATAACCGTTGCCTGGAGCTGATGCTGGGACATGTTAGCCGCCGGGGTTCACGGTGTCAGCTTATGGTAGCTTCCCACAATGAAGAGTCTGTGACCCAGGCCGTTAAGCGGTAAGGTGGAGGCCAGAAGACAGTGGGGAGCCAAGGGAGTGTCCCTAAGGAGGCAGGGAAGGACAAAGAGGGTAGGAGCAAAGATGAGAAACTTAGAGATTCAGAAACCATCAGAGCCGAGGAGGCACTTTAGAGGTAACCACTTTAATCCCCTTATTTCAAAGAGGTTCAGATTCCTATGAGGCCATAACAGATCCTAAAGATTAGGCAGAATCTTGATTTCCTCTCAGGGCCAAGGTTCTTTCCATCATACCAAGAGAGAGATTTAGGGTTTGAGGACAGGGAAATGGGCAGCTACACCAAAATATATGGTGTAGTGGAAGGGGTGTTGGACTGACAGGGTCAGGACTGACCTAGGTTCAAATTCTGCCTTAGACACTGCTGGAGTTGTGAAACCATGATAAAGTCACTGAACCCTCTCTGATCCTCAGTTTCCTCATCTGTAAAATGGGGTAATATCTGCTGTTACCTACCTCAAAAGGTTGTTGAAGGAGCAAGTGAGATAAAGCACTATCTAAATTTGCCTCTTTTGTTTACTACGAACTTTACATTGTACAGTTTTGTAACTAAAAGTCTTTCAGTTCCACCAAGATTATTAGTACCTATTCAGTGCCAGGCTCTGTCCTAGGCCCTGGAGATTCAAAGATAAGAGTGAACAGTCTCTGCCTTCAAGAAGCATATGTTCCACTCAGGGGAGATAAAATATGTTCACAGATAAGTAAATATAAAGCAAGTCAATTTCAAGAGGGAAGAGAGAACCCAGAAGGGAGGGGAACAAGAAAAGCTTGGCACCAATGAGGTAGTCTAGGACGGGAATGCATTCTAGGCATGGGGGGACCAGCCACTCATGCAAAGGCATAGAGAGGATACAACATCATCTCTGGTCAGGAGCACGTAGACGCATTTAAAGAGACTAGAGAACAGGAGTAACAGGAAATAAGACTGGGGGGGTTGGGGGGAGCCAGATCGTGGAGGGCTTTACATGGCAGGCTGAGGGTTACATGGCAGGCTGAGGGTTCCTAGCCCCCTCTCTGAGGCAACCACATACTATCATGCATTATAGCTCTCTGGGAAGTCTCTACTAGACTGGCAGCTCCAGGGGGGCAAGAGTGAGGTCTAACCTAACCCACTAAGCCAATGCTGAGCACAGAGCTCCACACATAGTAGGCACTCCAGTGTTTACTGTAGGGCATTAACCTTGATCTCAAATGCCACAGGATGTCAGATTTGGGCATTCCTCTGGATGGTGCTGTTTGCTTTGGACAGTTGCTAGGCATGTGTGACCATGTCTCCCTTGCCTTGGGTATGTGTTCCCATCACAGAACAACCTGCTCTCAATCCCTCTAACATGGGCAAAATTTCCATGGTTAAGATGGGACAGCCTTGGCCCTCTTCCCCTTCTCTGTCCACAATTTGAATCCATGCTAACCCCCAAGCCTACCTCTAGCCCACAATATTGAGTCAAGGCCTGGGCCTGGGCAGGAGGAATAATAACACAGGAGAAAGTCCTGCCCCTGCCCTGATGTTTCCTCTCACCCAGGGCAAGCTGGTTATGTCATCTACAAGTCTATCCCCTATGGTTCTCTGGATGAGGTGATTCCCTACCTGCTTCGTCGGGCCCAGGAGAACCGAAGTGTGCTTCAAGGGGCCAGGAGAGAGCAGGAGCTGCTGAGCCAGGAGCTTCTTCGGCGTTTGTCTCGCCGTCCTTAAGACCTCACCTCATTTCTGGCCTCCCCTCTCCTCACCCCAACATCTGACATTAAAGTCTCTGAGAGAAAATCGCATCTAATTATCTGTTGCTGTCTGGAGCTGGGGCCAGGAAATGCAGTTTCCTTGTAGTTGTCTCTTTGACCATGGGGCAAGCAACTTCATGTTTCTGGGCTTCCGTTCCTTCATCCACAACATGAGGGGATTGGATGAGATCATCCATAAGGGTTTCAGCCCGAGTCACTCTGTAGAATCCCTGAATTGGAGGTGAGGGTACCTAGGTCTCTAAGTAAGGGCTGAAGGGCAAAGTCCCTTCTGAGAACATAGGGACCCACTCTCTAAGCTACTTTGCAGGGTCTCTGAAATGGGAGAAGAGGCTGAGAAGGTGCCTTGGTTTCTGAGACCTGTTAGGTATCTGGGGAAGGCATGGGTTCAAGGCTGAGGGAAAGTTGTTCTGGACTTTAAGCTCCTGTTTGAGGCCTTTTGACTACAGAGCAGGCAGAGGTGAGACTCTTTCGGCCTTTGAATTCCTCTATGGGGTGTCTGGGGATTGGGGGTTCTAAGAAAAAAGGGGCCTAGAGTTCTACTTTGGGGTCTCTGGCTGAGGAGAGCCTGAAGGGAAGAATGCCTACATCTCCGAGTCCCTTTGAGAGGTCTTTAACTGGGGAACAGTGAATAAGATATATTGGTCTCAGAGCCCATGGGTTCTCTGAACTGGGGATAGGGAATGAAGGGAACATTTCCATCTCTGAGCCCCTCTCTAGGGGGTTTCTGACCCCTGACCTCTGTCAGAATTGACTGAGAGAGGGCACTAACTGCAAGGTGTCTTGGTTTCTGCTACCCTTAAAAAGTGTCTGAGTCGAGAGAGGCTGAGGGGAGGGCCCTTTGTGAAGTTTGACTGGGGAAAGGCGAAGGGATCACTCCATGGGGTCTTTGATGGGGAGACAATGAATAGGGTCCTTCTGTGGGGTCTTTGACTGGAGCAGACCCTTCAGTCTCTGAAATCTTTGACTTGGGAGAAGCTAAAGGGAATCCCAAGGAGTCTCTGGGCAGAAGAAGCTGAGGGATGGATACCTTTGCTGTAGTCCCTGAAGGAGGAGGGGTACCCCTTTGGGGGAAGCTGAGGTGGCTGGTATCCCTTGGACTGTGGGCTCTCTAACTGAAGGGAAGGCCCCTCTCTGGGGTAGATTTAGGAAGGTCCTTCAGACTGCGGGGGCTGAAGAAGAGGATAAGCGGGCATCCCTCCATCCATGAGGTCTCAGGGGAAACAAAGAAGGCACCCTGTGAAGGGTTTTAGGTGAGGGAGGAGGCTGAGGAGATGGAATCTTTTTGAACTATGGGGTTTCTGAGGAAGCTAAGGGAGGGATCACTAAAGGGAAGGGAGCTCCAGTCTGTGGAGTTTGGGAGGGATGTCCTTTGGCTTACAAGGTCTATGAGGAGAGTACCTCAGTTTCTGGGGTCTCTGGGAGGGTAGAAAGGGTTCCTTGGTCTATGGAGTCTTGGGGGGTGAGGGGAATCCCTCAGATTGTGGAGTCTCTAGGGAATTGGGGGTCCATAGTCTAGATGATCTGAGAGGGTCCTTTGTGAGGTCTGTGTCAAGGGTCTCTTGGTCTGTAAAATCTTGAGGGAGATTGGTCCCTTAGTGTGAAGTCTGGGGAGGTACCTTTGTCTCGGGGTGGTGGTGGTGTGAAGAAGATCCCTTAGTTTCTAGGGTAGGTAAGAGGGGGTTCCTAAGTCTTTAGTGTCTGTTAAGGGAGTCCCTTGGTCTCTGGAGAGGGTTAGGAATATCCCTCAGCTTGTGGGGTTTGAGGGTCTATGGAGTTTTAGGAAGGTCTCTCTGCTTGGGATGAGGTGGGAGGGGTCCCTGTCTATGGAGAGTCCTTGTTTTCTGAAGATTTGAAGAGGGTTTCTTGGTCTCTAGTGTGGGATGAAGGATGGTTCCCAACCCTGTAGGGTTTGGTGAGGAGATGCCCTAAGTCTACGGAGTTTGGGGAGTTCTTCAGTCTATGGGATGTGTGAGGAGGGGTACCTGTCTCAGGGATGAGGTGAGGAGGTCCCACAGTATGTAAAGTGATGTGGGGGGGTCCCTTGGTCTGTGGGGATCAGTCTTTAGGGTTCAGCAAGGTCCCTTCATCTATGGGGGTTTTCAGTCTTTGGGGTGGGGTGAGGAGGGTCCTCAACCTATGGGTTGGTGTGAAGGGAAGTCTGAGTCTGTGGGGTAAGGTGAAGAGAATTCTTCAGTCTCTGAGGTGGAGTGAGCAGGGGTTCTTTAGTCTGACAAGACTGCCCCTCAATTCCTAGGGTGGAGTGTGGGGAGTCCTTTGGTCTATGGGGTGAGGAGGGGGTCCCTCAGTCTGTGAGGCAGGAGTTAAGTGGTACTTCAGTCTCTGAGGTAAGGTGAGAGGGTCTTTCATTCTGTCGTGGTGAGGAGGGTCCTTTGATTTTAAGGTGGAGTAAGGAAGAACTCTCAAATCAATGGAGTCTGTGGAGGGCTCCCTCAGCCTATGTGTGGGTGTTATGAGGAATGTCCCTTAGTCTCTGGAGTGAGGGGAGTCCCTCAGTCTGTGGTTTGGGGGAGGGAGTTATCTCTTGGTCTCTAGGTTGAGGTGAGAGCTGTCCCTCAGTCTGTGAGGTACAGTCCCTTAGTCTGAGGGTGGTGGTGAAAAAGAGTCCCTCAGTCTTTGGGGTAAGGAGAAGGGGACTTTCAGTTTCTAGTGGGGATAAGGGGAGGCCATTTAGTCTGTGGGATCAGGGGGGTCTCATTCCGGGAGGTGGGATGAGGGGAGCTCATGGGGGGTCCTTCAGTTTCTAGGGGGAGGGAGGGTCCCTCAGTCTCTAGGAAAGTCCCTCAGTCGATAGAATCTGTGGGAGACCATCATTTTGTGTTCTAGGGAAGTCCCTTAGTCTCTGGGGAGGTAAAAGAAGTACTGTAGTTTGAGGGAGAGCCCTCAGTCCCTTGTGGGGAGCGGGGTTTCTTCAGTCTCTAGGGGGATGATGAGAGAGCCCTTAGTCTCTGGGCGGGGGGAGATCCTTCAGTCTCTAGGGGAAATGAGGTGGGTACCTCAGCATATAAGGAGAGTGAGGTGGGATGGATCTCTTAGCCTCTAGGGAGGGGTAAGAGGGGTCCCTCAGCATCATGGGGTCAGGGGAATCCTTTGGTGGGATGGGGGAGGTCCCTCAGTCTTGAGAGGGATCCTTCAGTCTCTGGGGGATGAGGGGGAATCCCTCAGTCTTTAAGAGGGTGAAGGAAGTCCCTCAGTCTTTGGGAATATGGAGGTGTGTCACTCAGTCTCTATGAGGGGAGAGGGGACCTCTCAGGCTCTGAGAGGTGAGGGGGAGGTCCCTTAGTCTTTGGGGAGGTGAGAGGGTCCTTCAGTTTCTAGGAGGTTGAGGTCCCTGTCTCTAGGGGGTAAGGGAGGTCTCTCAGTCTCTAGTGGGAAGGTGAGGGAAGTCTCTCAGTCTCTAAAAGGGGTAAGGGAGTCCCTTTTAGTCTCTAGGGGTAAGGAGGGGTCCTCTTCAGTCTCTAAGTGAGGGAGATCTCTCAGTTTCTAAGGAGGGTGAGGGGGGTCCTTCCAGAGACCTAAGGGGGGGGTTAGGGGAGTCCCTCCAGTCTCTGAGGGGGGAGGGAAGTCTCTAAGGGGGCAGATGAGGGGTCCCTCTAGTCTCTGAGGGGGGTGGGAAGTCTCTAAGGGGGCGGATGAGGGGGGTCTCTCCAGTCTCTGAGGAGTTGGGGGGGTCCCTCTAGTCTCTGAGGGGGAGGGAAGTCTCTAAGGGGGCGGATGAGGGGGGTCTCTCCAGTCTCTGAGGGGTTGGGGGTCCCCCTTGTCTCTGAGGGGGGTGGGAAGTCTCTAAGGGGGCGGATGAGGGGGGTCTCTCCAGTCTCTGAGGGGTTGGGGGGGAGGGAAGTCTCTAAGTCTCTAAGAGGGGGTCCCTCTGTCTCTGGGGTGAAGGCGGTCCCTCAGGTCTCTGGGAGGAGTCCCCCAATCAGCACGGAAGCTGAGGGCTGGCGGGGAAGGGGTCTGTCTCCTTGGTCTTCCAGGTTTCTGCCTCCCTCAGTCCGCCGGCTCTGGCGCCTCTGACGGCACTAACGGTCTCAACGGCTCCGGGCCCTCTCGCACCCCTGACGTTTTCCCGCTCGGGACGCACGAGCCGCTCCGACTGGGCAAGCGCAGTGCGCGTGTGGGGGAGGGGAGGGGAGGGCGCGCGCATGCGCGCCTCCTCCCGCCGCCTTTCCAACGAGCCCAGTCCCCAAACCTAGTCGGGGCTCTACCCAAACTGACGTCCTTCGAGGCTTCTTCCTCCAAATCCCCCCTACGAATGTCCCTCTTCTTCGATCCTCCCCCCAGCCTCCTCTCCCAGTTCTTCTGATCCCTCTACTTCAATCTCCCACCCCTTCTCCCTTATCCCCCAGCCCCTTCCTCTCGTTGCCCAGAGCCCCCTTTTCTAATACCCGCAGACCGCTCCCCTCCGATCCGCTGTCTCCTAATCCTCTCAGATCTCCCTCCTCTCCCTCCCAAATCTCCCGCATGCTTCAACCCTCTCCCTGATCCTCCGAACCCCATCCCCTGCTCTTCTTAGATCTCCGCCCTAATCCCCCTTCACCTTCCCCTAAACTGCCGTCTCCTTTCATTTCTCCATATCCCCCTGCTAATTTCCCTGAACTTCTCACCCCTACAGACCCCTTCCTCCATCTCAAGATCACTTCTGATTTTCAAAGACCCTCCCCAGCCTCCCCCGTTTATTCTCCCTGGACCCCCACACCCATCTCCTTTGACTGATTGCTGCTAAGCCTCTGCTCTGCCTCTGCTCACCCTCCTTCCCATGAGGCTTCTGCCCCTTTCAGGCCCTTCCTCCTATCCCTAGCTTGGCCCTAGGCTGACCACTGGGCAGCCCCCCTCATGCCCACACTCCCCCCTCACTGCCCTGTGGAGCTGGGCTCCCTCAGAGAGCAGGACAGCCCCCTGGCCCAGCTACACCAACTGGCGATTGCCGGAGGACCCTGCTGGCGGCTGGCCAGGGTCCTGAAAAAAGGTGGTCCTTCAGGGTTCTCTTCGTAGACGCCCAGCATGGTGGTGGGGGGGGGGACTAGCTGTGGAGTTTAGGGAGTTAGCAAGGGGAGGCGTAGGCATGGAGGAACTCTTTTGGGGTGGGCAATGCCACGAAGGCGCCATGCCCCTTCCTTTTCCCCCCAGGGGTACAGGTGGATGGGGAAAACTCATCAGGTCAGACCAGCCTCTTCCTGTCAGCGCTCCTGGGCCAAGCCGGTGCTGTTAGACTTCTTCTCCACTTTGGAGCAGACCCCAATCAGTGAGTCAGCCTGTAGCCCCACGGCACCTCTCCCCCAAAGCCAAACTTCTTTAGCGATCCCACCTGAACTTCAGCCTCCTCCCTATCAACAGTCCCATCAGCCTCCCTTCATTTCCCCCTCCTCCCCTCTCTCCCACTGACTCAGTTTCCCTCTCTCCATCTTTCTCCCATAGCCGCTGCTTGGATAGAAGTACCCCAGTCCATGCAGGAGCTTTCTCCGGTCGTGGCCAGGTCCTCCTTTGGCTGCTGGAGGCTGGCGGAGATCTGAGGCTGCATGACCAGCAGGGCTGGACAGCCGGGGATTGGGCCCGGCAGGCTAGATCAGAGAGCCGGGAAGTGAGCAAGCATTGCGTGCGTGCGTGTGTGTGTGCGTGTGTGTGTGTGTGTGTGTGTGTGTGTGTGTGTGTGTGTGTGTGTGTATGTGTGTATGTGGACCCATGTGCTTGTGCATGGGCACTGAGGCAGAGTCCAACAAAAGAGAACTGGGAATGGGGAGGAGGGAAGGTGAGGAGTAGGCCTTTGGAGATACCTGACTTAATACTGATAACTCACATTTAGAGACAAAATGATGGCATATGGTGGTTAGTGAGCTGGCCTCCAAGACAGGAAGACTTGGTAAGTCCCATCTCTGACGACTCCTGGCTGTGTGATAGGGATGGAGACTCCAGCGGGGATTTCCTTGCTCTGGGGGAACTCATGGCTGAGGGCAGCACCTTTCTGGGTTCAGAGCTGCATTGAAAAGAGCCAGCACGGGTTGGAAACAAGCCTCAGATCCAAAAGATGGCTCCATACAGACCATGCCAGGCAGCCTTTCAGTGAGGGAACCAAGAATTGGTGAGGGAGAGGGGGTTTCCATACCGGGAGGCCTCTGCCCCCAAGCTGGCCCCAGTTGGCCCCAGATGCCACCTCTCTCTTATACTTGAAGGTTTGCCCATCCTGTCAGGCCTGGCAGCACATGAACATGTCTCTGGCTCTCCCTGTCCCAAACCTCCCCCTCTAGGTCTTGGAGCTCCTTCAAGATTGCCGAGCCAGAATGTCCCTGCTGGCCCAGGGGGGTGAGACTGCACTGGCTTCGTCCTTGGGGGAGCTGTGGGGGCTCCGGGCTGGAACTCTGGGAAACCTGCACCTGGCCCTGTCCTCCCAGCTCTGGCCTCTGGCCAAAGGGTAATAGCTGATGTTGCTTGTTCCTTCGCTGCCCTGCTCCGACCCTACTCCCGTTATCCCCAGGGGAAGGAGAACCTGCTGGGTGCTGACCTCACCCCCACCCCTAGGTCACTGTGGCCCAATCGGATGCAGAGGTCCCCCCAGATCCCAGGGCTGGGGTTTGGCCAGGTAAGCAGGAGAGGCACACGCAGGAAGGGAAGGAAGGGGAGAGGTGGGGGGCCTCCAGCTGGGACCTGCTAAGTAGGGTTTCTTCCCCGCAAAAGCTGAGCAGTCTGAGACCTCTGGGCCTTACCTCTGGGGTTCCCCTGGTTGATCCTGAAGAGTTGCTCCCAGCACAGGGGGAGCCTGACCGGACATATGATTGCGGCGCCCACACCATTATGATCAAGTAAGAAAGCTGAAAGTCCTTCGAGGCCCATCGATCCAGATGTCCAGCTGTCAGCCCAGCCCTGTACACTGTTAATCCCACCCCTCCCACTCCCACACCAGGACCCCTCTTCTCCCAGTCTCCTCTCCCTAGGCCTCCCCTTATTCCCTGATTTTAGTGTTCTGTCCTAAAGCCTCCTGTGGAGGGGACACCGAGTGACCGTTCGGAAACTGAGGCCACCCCCAGCCCCGGCCCTCCCAGACCTGCTGTTCTCTGACCTGAAGCATTGCAGGTACTGCCTGGCTTGGGAGACAGCCTTGCACCCTTCTTCCCTCATCCTCAGTCAATCAGTAGACACTGGTTGGGCACCTACTATGTGCCAGGCATTGTGCTTAGTACTGGGGATAGAAAAAAAAAGGCAAAGGATGGTCCCTGCCCTCCAGAAGCTTCCAATCTAATGACTAATCCTCGTCTTCCATGGAGCCCCCCAGGTTCCAGCTGGTGGCCCCAGGGAGGCGGGGGTGGGGCAGGCTGGGGCAGGGCCCCCCCGGAAGCCTTCCCTGGAATTCTGTCTCCCACAGCTTCCTCCATCACCCAAACTTACTGCTGCTCATGGCCCTGAGCCCCTCCCCTGACCTGGCCGGCCTGTCTCTCCTGTTTGAGCCCATCCAGGAGGGCTCCCTGCACCAAGTGCTGCACCCCCAAGGGGTGAGTCACACCCAGCTCCAGAGGGAGAGCTGGCCTGGGATAGGGAGGCCCTCTCTGGTTATACTTGCACCCCCCCCCCTTATCTGATGCTTCCACTTTTGGATGGTAGCATGAGGACAAGTCCCAGATCCCTTCTGCTTCTCGCCCTCCCTGGGAAGCCTCTGAAGACCCCAGGGTTAGCGTGTGGCGAGTTCCTCCTGGGATACTGGACTTACTCAGAGGGAAAGAAAGACTGGGGGCCAGAAAGGGACAGAGAGAGCAGAGGGAAGCCATCAGGTGTGGACGAGGAGTTCAGGCCTGGCTGGACGACAGTGGAGTCTTGGAAGGAGACATTCCCCTTGCCTGTGGTCGGTTTTCAGTGGCAGAGGGATCCCATTTTCCTCTGTTAGGGATGATCTTAGGGGTACCTGGGGCACTGTGGAATTAGGATGAGACCGGGGTTCCGATTCTGGTTTTGCCACTTGTCAGCTATGTAATCCTGGGCAAACTGCTTGGCCTGCCTGTGTTTATTTCCTCATCTGTATAATGGGGATGTAAATGCCTACTTGGCCTTTCTCACACTGAGGATCAAAAATGAGGATGGAGGTGACCTCCTTGTGGAGTAGTAAGTGGCTGAGGTTCAGAGTTGTCTTGTTGCTCTGATAGCCAGGCCAGAGATAAGCTGGGATAGGATGGGAATGGAGAGGCACCAGGAAGGGAAGAGGCCTGGCCAGGTGAGGTAACTGAATGCAGACACTGGCCTCTTTCCCCACTAGGATGTGGCCTGCCCCAGAATTCCCCCTGGATTCTTCCCAGGGCAGCTGCTGTTACAGGTGCTGGAGGCCCTGCTGTTCCTCCAAGGCCAGGCCCGGGCCCACGGGGGCCTCAGCTCCCACGCAGTCCAGCTGGTTCGACCTGGGCTGGCCAAAGTCAGCAACCTGGAGCACGGGCGATCCTTGCCCCGGCCCCAGTGAGTGACCCTTGAGGCCCAGCTCTGCTCTGCCCTGCTCCCCTGGCCACAGCCTCTGCCTTTATGTATCTATCTCACTTTCCCTCCCTCTGGCTCTGCAGGCCAGAGCGAGCATTTCCTTGGGGAGGCCCGAGCCCAGGGCCATCTCCACCCTCTGAGCTGTACCCCTGGCTGCCACTGGAGCTGATTCGGGGGGACCCTCCCACCTTGACTTCTGACTTTTACAGCTTCTGCATTCTGACCCAAGAGGTCTTTACTGGTTAGTGATGCCTCCCCCTCCCCCCCGGCCGATTTAACCTCCTACCCTGAAACACCCTTGACCACCTTTTTTCCATTCCACACCCCCCCCACTCAGTGTTGTCTGTCCCCTAATCCCCACCCACCATGCCATAGGGAACCTTCCCTGGGCTGGGCAAGAAGGCCTGCAGGTCAAAGCAAAGCTGGAGTCCGGGGAGGTGCCGGCGCTTGATCCCCAGGTTCCCCTGACCTACCAGCCCCTGGTCAAGGCAGGACTGGGGCTGTGGCCTCGAGACCGAAAAGGCAGCCTACAGGACACCCGATACAAGTTGAGGGTGGTGTTAGCTCAGGTACAGGCTGGGCTAGGTGATGAAGCGTGGCACGGGGGCAGGCCCCAGCAGACAATGACAGGGCTGTCCAATCCCTAGGAGTCTGCACTCAAAGAAGCCTCTTTGGGCAGTCTGGGCGGTCCCCCTTCAGAGCCAAAGACCCTACCACTGCCACCTGGTAAGGAGGGGCAAGTGGGCAGGGAAGGCATCCACCCTCCAGTCCAGCATCATTTGCCTTGCCCTGCACACACAGAGCAGCTCTCTGAGGTGGATCTCAAGGTCACTAGCACACCTAGACCTCCATCCCCCAAGATGGCCCCAAACCCCAAACCATCTGAGGTAATGGGGGTGTTTGTGGGAGGAAGAATTGGGGGCAGTGGGGACTTGGCCGGGGCATAGAGAGAGGAGGCTCTGTGTTCCTCCAATGCCTCTCTAGACTTTGAAGTCCCCTGAGAGCAGTGGGGCCTGGGGAAACACCTGGAGCTCCCCAGCCTTGGACTCGGGAAGCAGCCTAAGCCTGAGCTCCCAGACTGAAGAAGCGTCACCAGCAGACAAGAGGAAGATACCCAGTCCAGAGGTAGTAAGGGCTTTTCAGCCTCTGCTTACCTTTAGTCCTTTCATCTCCTGGCTGCCTGCTAACTGCCCCATCACTGACCCAGCCCTTCCTCCCATCTCACCAGAGGCCAGCCCTGCTGACCAGTCTGGAAGGGTCAGCCTCCCTGCTGGGCCAGGTCCAGGGCTCCCTGGAGGAACTGGAGAGAAGGTTCCCAGCCAGGATCTGGGCCCTGCAAGATCTATCAGATGTCTTAGAGGCATCCGCATCCCCATACACCTGCCCTCAGAGTGAGTGAGGACAAGCCCCTTCCTCCTTCCCTTCCTTTGTGGGTGAAGATACCCTCCCCAGTGAGTTGAGGATTCCTCCCTCCTCTTCCAGTGATTGAGGACCACCCCCACCCCCATCCCCAGGTGGCCCCAGTCTTCAGGAATGCATAGACCTTGCGGCCCAGGCCTGACACCTGGACAGACAGGAGGGTCAGACCCAGGTAGGGATCTGGGGGCTGGGTGCAAGGTGTCTTTGACAAAAATGGGGCTCCTTCTCCTGAGTCCCACGCATTCTGAAGAGCTCAGAGACATTGGATAGAAAGGAGCTAGGCCACTTCTCAGTTGGGCACCTCATCACAAGGAGAGCAATACAGACTGATCGACTTTCATGGGCTCTGCCCTGCCCACCCTCAGACTAAGGACCTAAGAGGCTGCCCATCCTCCTTCTCCTTCATGTTGTCATTCGGTAGACATTTTGGGGTGCTGAGGGTCCCTGGGATTGACATGATCTAATCAGTGGGATGGATTAAGTGCGTAAGATAGGACACAAAGACACAGGGATTCAGAAAGAGAAATGACAGGGGTGGTGGAAGGCTTGGAGGGAGGCGCTGGGCTTTGAAAGGCAGAACGAGGAAGAATGATTGTGTTTCGATGAGGCCTAAAGGTGAGCACTGCATGGGAGTCTAGCAGAACTGAGCACAGAATGGAGAGGGCAGCCTGGCCTGGCCTCTGCTGGCCTTGGCCAGACCAGGTGGCCAACGGAAGAGGAAGTCTGCTCTCTGGGGACGCTAGAGGGAGCAGAAGCTCCCAGGGGCTGACTTGCCAGGGTCCGCCTTCCCGGCGGCACAGCTGCTAGGATTTCTTCCTGGAGCTAGGTCTTAGCACTTTCCTAATAATCAGCCATCATTGATGAAGCACCTACTGTGTGCCAGGTCCACACTTCCACCCACCCTCTCTCCTGTGCCAGGTGTCGGTTCCTGAGCTGGCTAAAGCTGGTCCCTTCACCAGCCTGCAGAAGTACGTAGCTATTGATCCCTTCCCCCTCTCGAGCATTCTCCACTTTCTGTGGGGTCCCCACCATGACATCAGCCTCTTGGGTTTTCCCCCCCTGCCCTAGGCTAGACCTGCTAGAAGAGATCATCACAGAGCTCCAGGGTGAGGCTGGGGGGGAGGTGAAGGATGACAAGGGATGGGGTGAGGGTGGGACAAGGACAAGACTGAGCTCTTCCCCCAACCACACCCTGGTCATTCTAGCTGGAATACCAGTCCCTGAGGGGAATGTGGCTCAGTCACTGCCTCTCTGACTGCCTCTCAGGGGCCTCCAAGCCAAGGAGCTGAGAGTGGACGAGGCTGAGCCGGGCTGATGTAGGCCACCTGACCCTGCTCCAATAAAGCTTTCCCAGTCAGCCACCTTGTCAGCTTCTCCCTGCTTCTCACTACAGCTTAGATACCACATGACAAAATGCACAGATCATTTGTACTTTTATTTCTGTTAATGTTAAAATTTGTTTTTAAATGTTTAGTACACAGGATTGGAGCTCAGCAGGGATACACGCACTCAGATGTGCATACTTGGGCGCGCGCGCACACACACACACACACACACACACATATATACACACACCCCCAATGCCCTTCATCTGGGCACACATTCGTAGCTGCACGTACAGGGCAATGAGAAGGGGGAGGGGATCAGGACATGCTGGGGGATCCTGGGAGTTGGGGGGAGGTGAAGTGTTTTCATCTTCAGTCTCCCCCAAATTAGTGCAAGAAACCCCAGGGCAGTAGAGGTGTAAAAAGTTTTTTGTGGGGAGGGCAGAGAAACTACAGTTAACAGGTTATGAGATCACATTGGAACCAGTTTACAAAGTTAGAAACTTGAGGAATTGGGAAAAATTACAAAATGGATCACTGAATTGGGGCCCTAGGGCCAGTGATGGCAGAGGGTCCTCTGTGGGGACCTTGGTCATCATCAACAGGCACAGCCAGCTAGGGCTCCAAGGATTCCCGTCCACCAACATAGGGAGCCATGTTACAAAAAAGAATCATTAGGAGACTCAGCAGTAGCTGTGTGTCTGGCCCTTAGCATGGAGGGACCAGCTTGGGGGAGGCAGGTAGGAGGGTGGGGGGCCAGCCCCCTCTCCATGGCCATCCCCCACGTTTCCATATTGAACCCCATGAGGACCCTCCCCAGCTCCTTTCCCATAGGCCTGGGTGGGCATCCGGTAGAGTAGGAGGGGATCTGGAGGCCCCCAGGGTCGAGGAGGCCGGGGTCCCCAGGTGAGCGCTGCTTGTGAGGGAGTCGAGGGGCTGGGGGACCAGGGTCAGAGCGACTTCGGGGGTGGGCAGGAGGGGAGGAAGAACAAGAAGAGGAGGAGGTAGGGGAGGGTCCACCTCCACCTAGGGGCAAGTTGACATAGACAGGTTCCAGATGGGCCAGGCGCCGCCGGGATTCTTGGGGGTGGTAGCAGAGGCGGCTATGTTGGGAAAAAGGTTGCAATGCTGGGGGGTATGGGTGAGGTGGGGGTGGGGGGTAGCAGAAGAGGAAGTCAGGAAGTCCCTGGGGTGGTGACTGTTCCCGAATCCCATAGGAAGCATTGAGCCCCTCAGGGGCCTGGTGGAAGGAAGCCCAAGGCCTAGGCAGGCCTGGGTAGGGAGGCCCCTCACCCCCACTGATCTCATAGTACAGGTTTTCCCCCTTATCAGGGGGCAATGTGGGAGCATGTGGGGTCCTGCGGGTAGGGAGCTGAGGACCGGGCCGGAAGGGAGGAGCACCCAGGGAGTGAAGAGGAGGCTTAGGGGGGGCCAGAGAAAGGTGAGGGGCGCTCTTCGGGGTTGGGAGAGGTCACAGCAGAGGAGAAAAAGGAGGCAGGCACCTGTGAAGGAGAAGGGGACTTGTTGAGAGCTGCAGATTTTACAGCTTGTCTGGGCTGATGGGAGCCCTTCCATTTGGGAACTTGGGTATCTAGATAACATGTGCTATCTCAACTTTTATTAATGCTTTGTTTTGGGGCTGAGGGTTGGGAGGAGAGAGAGAAGAAATGGGTAAATCTTAACTGGGCCAAAACCCTACAAAAATAAGGGCAACCTGGAGAAAAAGGGACAGACTTTCCTGCTGTTCTCACTGACCTGTGCAGGGCCTCTCCATTCCCTCCGTGGGGGACCAGAAACGTGTGTGCGCAACAGGCCACCGTCACTCTGCTGCCGCTGCAAGGAGGCTGGGGGACCTGGGGCTTGGTGGCTGGAGCTCACCATGGAGTAGAGAGGCCCAGGGCTCCCAGCCCCTGGAGTTTCCCCACCTCCCTCCAGGGACAAGGAACGTCGGAAAGGGGAGTGAGGTAAGGGTGGGACTGTACCCCCCATCTCCTGCTGGCGCTGCCGCTGGGCTGCCCTCTGAGCTCGCTCGGCCAAAGCCAGGGCCATCAAGCGGGCTGGATTCTTGGGAGGTGGGGGAGGGGCCCCTCCGGGGCGAAGGAGAGACAGGGGCACAGGCAGAGGTGGAGACTCAAACCCAGGCACAGGACCTGTACAGAAAGGAAGAGGAGACAAAAGTCAGGAGATGGGGAAAGCCTCAGAATGGAGGGCTTGGTTGGGAATTTGGAAATGGAGGCTCTGTCGTGTGAGACCCTGAAGGAAGATCCTGAGAGGAGTGAGGCTGAGCCCACATGCTCGGGGCGGGGGGGGGGGGGGGTACTCACTAAGTGACCCTTGTAGGTCTCTCTGGCTGGTTAAGGACAATTTACTCCGGATTTCCCTCTGGCAGCTGTCACTCAGCTCAGTCTCGGCACTGCGCAGCAGCAGGGGGATGAGCTGGGGAGCAGGGGTGGCAGGTGGAGGGGATGGGGTGGCAGGGGCACCACCCCCCAGCAGCTCCAGCACAGCAGGGGGCACAGAAACAGCTACAGGCTCAGAGATATCCAGAGCTGTGGGGGGGGCAGGGCTTGCCGGGCCTCGAGGAGAACGAGTTGGGGGGGTGGCTTTATGGATGAAAGAGCCAGTAGGGGCTGGGGGGGCAGGACTGGCAGGAGGGGCAGGGTCCCCAGGGGTAGGGCTGCTGCAGCGGAAGGTGAGAGGATCAAAGTCAAGGCCTCTCAGCCCCTCCAGGCATGTAGGGGGGCTAAAGTCCAAGTCGTCACCATCATCCAGCCAGGCTGAAACTCGGTGTGGGGGAGAGCCCACCAGCTCCCCACTCCCCACAGAGGTGGTGCTGCTGGAGGAGGAAGACGACGTGCTGGAAGAAAGGCTTTCACAGGAGCCGGCCAGACCAGGAGCCACGGGGAAAGCATCGCTGCTGGACCGGGGCCTGCGCAATCGGTGGAGCCTCTGCAGGCCTGCGGGGAGGCGGGAAGGCAGCTGCTGGGGCCGGAGGGCACTGACAGGTGGATGCACCCCCAGGCCCAGCTAGAGAGATGACTGCCCCAGTCTCTGCCTAGTGGCTCCCAAGCTGGCCCCTCCTTCCCAACTTCTCAGGCCATTCCCTCAGGTGGCAGCAGCTCTGTATCTAAGCCTGCCCCCATCCCCTCGTGGCCCATCTTATTTGACTCTCACATCTTTGCTCCAGCATTCAGAAATCTGTCCACTGCTCTTCAGAAGACAGAGCTAACTCTCTTCACGCCCAAAGCCCCCAGCAGCTCGCTGCTGGACTATCACAGGGTCACAGACCCAGAGCTGGATGCGACTTCGGACGTTCCTCCGGCCAATTCCTCCCCTTTATAGATGAAGCGAGGCCTAGAGAGGGGAAGGGCCTGTCTCCTGGCACCCAACCCTCATCTCCAGCTTTGCAGCCTCATCTGCAAAGGCTCCCTTGCTACTGGTCCTGCCTGAATAAAGCTTTCCTCCCTAATTCTCCAGGAGCATGCTAGCTGCTTTTCTCCTTTGCCTCGTTATACCATCTGTGTCCCTGCCAGCTCTCCGTACCCACCCATGCCTACTCCTGACTGCCAGGAGAGTGGGAACTACTTACAGAAGGTATCCCCGGGGCCCAGAACACTTAAAATCAATGCTGAATGGAATCAAACAGACTCATTCAGTGTTCACAGAGACCTCAGAGACAGGGAAACAGCCCCGACGAAGGAAAGGGCCTTGCCTCTAGAGCTAAGGCTAGAAGCCAGAACAGAGCTGTCCTTGCTACTCCCCACCCATCTTCCTAGACAGTCAGGCTACTGCTTGGCTGAAAAGCCAAGCGTGGCTCCCCAGGGCCTAGAACAAGGACCCACTCACACTGTCATTCAAGGCTCTTCACAATCTGGCTCCAAGCTCTTTTTCCAGTTTCACCTCCTCATCCTCCCCTTTAGGGATGTTCTGCCCCAGCCCAACCAGGTTACTCCTGTCTCCTGCTCCTCTGCTCCTGCCCCCACCACACACCCTTGCTGTCCTGTAGGCCTGTGATCTGCCTTCTCCGTGTTGAATTTCTATCCACATCTCAAGACAATTCCCTTTCCTCTCCTCTGGGATGTCCATGGAGAGGCAGCCTGGGGCAGTGGAAAGAGCCAGATTTGGAGTCCAAGAACCTGGCATTCAATGCCAGCTCTATCTCCAATACCCAGGTGACCTGGACAAATCCCATAACCTCTTAGGGCCTCAGGGCGGTGGCCTAGATGACCCCTGGGGTTCCTTCCAACTCTGATGGTCCTTTTCTGAGGCCCTATTGGAAGCAACCTCCCCTGACCCAACCTTGGACGGCATGGAGCACCATGTGTGATGCATTATTCTGTGCACCACATATCTACTCTGCTTGATGGGGAGCCCCTGGAGGGTACAGATTGGGTACCTCTAAGTAGAAGGTTCTGCCCATAGGAGACACAATAAACACTTGCTGAGCCCAGTCTCCCTCCCTCCCCACCTCCTCCTGACTGTGATTCCCACAGAGGCCCCGGGAACCGGCCACCCCTGGGTGGGTTCTCACCAGCTCCACTGGCCTGGGATGACAAGGACTCCTCACTCTTGGCTGAGCGCAGAGGGGCTGCTTCCACTGGGCCACCTGGGTTTCAAGAAGAGACAGGAGGAACAGTTAGTGGGAAGGCCCCACCCCACCACATCTGCCTGCCCTACCGCCTTGGGCCCAGGAGCCTGCTCACCTGGGGGCGGCTGGGACCCTTGACCAGCTCCACGCCAGGGCAAGGGCTTCTTTCGGACCGAGGAAGGGCCTCTGCCCAGGGCAAAGAAGGTCTTCCAGCTGCTGCCACCTGGTTTCCTACGCTTCTCTCCAATGACCCCCTTCCTCCTATACAGGACAGAGAGTGAGATGGGACAACCTCTGGGTCAGGGCCTTTCTCCCCACTCTCCCCGATCCTGAGTGTTACTCACTGGTCTTCAGGTGAAGTAGAAGCCTTGGCCCCCTGTCCAGACAGTTGACCCTGTGACCGAGCCTGAGCCTCCTCTAGGGAGAGGAGGCGAGTGGAGGGTCCGCTGCCCACAAGGGGACTTAGGCCTGGAGAGGAGACAGCGACCTGGTGGAGTGATGGTAGAAAACTCTGTCAGCCCATCAAGCCATCCTATCTACCCTGCAGGCAAAGCTAAGCACAGCCCCCACCTCCCCTGGGAGCCCTGGAAGGCCAAGCCCCCGGCCAGGGATCAGCAAGGCAGGGACCCTGGGATGGAGGTGGGGGTGGGGAGTGGCGGGGTGGGGTCAGGGCAACTTGGGTCCTGGGAGGGAAGGGAAGGAGAGGGGAAAGGAGTAGGGGCATCAGCAACAGGCGAGGAGGAGGCAGGAATGAGCTGATGAGGCAGAGGCGGCAGCAGCTGCAGGAGGAAAGCCGTCTCAGTTACCTCAGGAGGGCCGGCCGATGATCCGCGTCCTGCAGGGGTCCAGGGTTTGTGGGGCAGGGGGTGGGAATGAGAGAAGGGGACGTGGCAGGGGTTTCTTGGGAAAAGGTGATCTCTAAAATGGGGGGAGAGGGGCTCTAAAGTTAAGGGAACTGGGAATATCCAGACCTATCGGCACCCTGCCCAGTTTCCACTAGTCCCAAGGGGCCCCTGAGGGAGCTAAGGGAGGGTGGTGGAGATGCAGCATCCTGGACAGTGGGGAATCCTGAGTCGAGGAGCTGAAATGAGAAGGAGGCTGGGGGAGGGGGCAGCGAGACTCAGGGCAGCAATCGTGGGGCCCCACCCTCCCCCAGCCCATGGCTAGCTTTCCCGGCCCCAAGGAGAGGGAGCTTCCATCCATTTCCAAAGAGGCTCAGGCCACAAGCACTGGGGAGCAGGCATACCTGCAGGATCTAGGCCTGCCGAGGTGAACGTGTCGCTGAATAAAACATCCACGTGGCTGAGAAGAAACTCCACAACAACAGACTGGACTCGAACCTCGCGGAAGGCAGCAGCCCCACCAAGCCCTACTGACTCCAGCTCCATTGACCTGCAGGCACCCGGAATGCGGAGCTTAGGAGGTCCCCAAAGATCTGGGAGCGCCCCTGAGACCAGGACAATTTAGTTCAATTCAATATTAATTAAATGCCTACAAAGATTAAGGCACTATGCAAAGAGCTAATGGTACAAAGAAACCAAACCGTGCCTTCCCTCCATACATGGAGCAGGCTGGTTGCTTCCTCCCCAACTCACCGAAGCAGGTTGGGAGCCCATACGATGGCCAGGTTTCGGGCGTGCATGCTGGTGTTGGCACTGTGCTGGGCCATCCGAGAGAGGTGCCGAAGCAGGTACTCCAGAGTCCTGGTGCAGGGCAGGGAGGGACATGGTCGCTCACTGAGCACCTCTCCAACAGTGACCCTTCCCTCAGGGGCTCAGCCCGACCCCCTTCTGCCCCCCACTCCCTGGACCTAGCCCCTCCTACCCATACCGGTAATGAGGTGGGGGCAATTGCTGGATGACATCGTGAACGCGAACCAGCCGCTCCTCCTCCCCTGGCACAGACATGGCCTCCTGGGGGAACAGGGTGAAGGAGAAGGGTGTGCGCAGGCTGGGGCTGAGGCCTCATGCCTGGGTTCCCCTGGATGGCCCTCTTCACACTTACACTGAATTTTCCATAGAGCTGGTAGGTGAGCAGGGGGTTAGGCAGCTCTCGAAAGTAGAGTTTGCAAAGGGAAGAGACACTGTGGATGTCCTGGAGGAAGGCTGGTCCGCTCAGTTCCGGGATCCGCTCACTGTCAAACTCATGCCTGAGACCCCACAAGGGAGGAGAAGCTGTCAGAGCTCTTCCTTGCAAGGCCCGCCTTCCTGTGCTCTCCTCCCAAACCCCCCACCCTCCAAGCCACCCTCCCTCCCTCCCTCCCTGGCCTCTGGCCTCCCCACCTCAGTTTCTGGATGTTGGAAGAAACACCTGAGAGGCGGTAGATCCCATCCACAACGCCATGGGCCTCGATGAACTCTGAGCAACAGCGCAAGACTTGGGGAACTAGAAAGGATAATAGGGTCAGGGCAGAAGGGGCCGTGATCAGGTGAGGGGGATGAGAATTATAAAAGGGGTGGGGGAAGAACAGAGCCGAACACACAGGGATGTCCTGTAGGGGATAAGATAGGGGTGGTCCCCAGGAGGGTTGTGTTTTCACTTGTAATTGATTGACTGTGAGACACTTTCTCTGGAGACAGCATGGCCTAACAGAGTATGCAGGATTTGGAATGAGATGAGGCTTGTACTTGAATCCTACCTCTGGCCCTTACTAGTGACCATGAAGGAAATCACTTCATGTTACTGAGTCTCATTTTTCTCATCTGTAAAATGGGCGTAACACCTGTAACACCTACTTCCTAGGATTGTTGAGAACATCAAATAAGATACACTCTTAAACAACTATGTAAATGCCAGCTATTATAATTGTACCAACAAGGACAGACTACAGTAACCCCTTTTAGAGGGCTGGGAGGGCTGGGAGGCTAGGGAGTGGCCAATCAAGGTTAGGCCTGGGCCAGGACCTCACCATCTTGGCCAGAGTTGCTGAGATGCTCCCCGAGGTCACAGCCAAAGACACGTTGCCGAAGGATGCCCCGCTGCCGTAGCCGCTGACGAGATGGGCGGGAGCGAATGAAAGAACGGAGGAGGCCTGCAAGCTTTCCTCGGGGCCGGGGCACTGCTCAGCGGTGGTGGTGATGGGAGAGAAAGAGGGTACTCAATGGAAGGGAGAGGCACAGAGGGGAGGGGGTGGGCTGGGACAGGGCCCAGGGGATGACAGCCTCAGTTCTGTTACCTGACGTGAGAGAGGGAGGGCCCTCCCTTAGGGGAGCTGGGATGCTGGATGTGGGGCCATCAGGATCTGTGGGGGGAAACCAGCATGGATGGCTTGAGGTCCCTTCCCCCTCCCCCACCCTCTCCCCTGGCACTGCCCACTTGCTGTTACCAGCTTTGACCCCCAGGCCTGGTCGTTCAGTGAACAGCTCCACACACTCGCTGGGGAAGAAACCAACCTAAGGAGAAGGATCAAAAGCCAAAGGTCAGATGGCCCAACATCCTTCAAGGTTCTCGCCCTCTTAGGTTCTCACCTGCCCCCTGTCTACCTGGAATCCATGTTTCCCACGCCACCAGCTTCGGTCCTCTGTGGGTGGCATGTCAATCACAGAGACAATGTCACCAACCTGAGAATGGAGTGCAAGTGGGAGTCAGGGGAGGGTCAATATCCAAAACAAGCCCTGCAGCCCTTTCCCCTGAAACGTTACCTCAAAGGACAGCTCATCTGGGGCCTGGGCCGTGTACCGTTTGACCACGTGTGCCGCAGCCACCGCAGGAATGTTCAGGGAGGCCTCCTCGCTGAGGAGCAGCCGTCGGCCGTGGTTATCCAGCTGGGGGAGGGGCAGAGGGAGACAGAGATGGTGGCCTTCGTGGTAGGCACACTACCGTCCTCCCACTCAAGGATTTTCCCACTACACACTTCCCCCAGACATTTCCCAAGCCCTTCTGAGATGCACATGCCTCCCTGCCCCGAAGCCCACACTCTTCACCACAGCTCACGTTCGCTTCAGGATGCAGTGGCACAGAGAGCCATAACCCAGCTCTTTCTGCTAAGTGGCTCTTCCCTTAGTTGCCCACAGCCATCTTTCATGCACCCTACCCTTGATCCAGCCCCTCAGCTGAAACACTTAGCCTGGCTCGCTTCCCACACCCTCATCTATTTCCTTCTCTCCCTCATTCTCTCTCTCCTCTCTCTCCTCTCTCTGTCTATCCCTCTCTCCCTCTCTTACTCTTGTTCTTTTGAGAACACATATACACACACACAGACACAGACACACACACACACACACACACACACACACACACACACCCCCACACACAACTCCTACTTCCATCCAGGTAAGCACGGGGCCACAGTTGAGGTTGCTGTCCACCAGTCCAGTGAGGGTTTCAAGATACTGTAGGAGCAGTGGCACTAGCAGCTGGGTGGGGAAGAAAGGGGGGTCGGGCTTAGGTGGGACCCAGCAGGCTCCCTTCCCTCCATCCCTCTCTGCTGAAATGCCACTTGTTCCCAGTTTTGAAGGGTAGGGAGCAAAGCAGAGGGTGGGGCTCTACCTGGTTCCGGGAGCCCTCTGGAGCTGGGGGCAGTTCTGGAAGGCGAGAGAACCGACGGTCAAAGATGCAGCGATGAAGATGGCTATCCAGGGAGCGGAAATCCTCATAGCTTCGGAGAACAGGCCAGGACCGGCCCTGTTGGAAACAGTGAGTCAAGCAGGGTTGAAGTGACTGATTGTAGTCATAACTTCAGGCTGAAGAAGGTTCACGGGTTGATCTCTGACAAACTGGGAGCAAGGTTAGGTTAACCCTGATCAGTCAGTGTAGGGTCGAGAGGCAAAATGTAGAATCAAGGGTCTTACCTGACAGGTCACCTGGACCCCAAACACCAGCTCATTATCGCTAGGGAGATTGGCGCCTTCACGATCTGGAGATAGCAGCAGCTGAAAGGCAAAAATCAAGGACCCAAGGCCCAGGTTCCAGCACTAAACCCAACCTCAACTACTTGAACCCAAACATATAATATGCAACAGGAGAGAGAGCAGGCAAATAGAAAGGGGGGCTGCTCTGGGGGGCAGTGGTCATCTCAGGGCTCTCATGCTGCCATGCCCAGATGGGGGACCCCAAGTACCTGAATGTGGCCGAAATCGACATTCTCATAGTGGAAATGGGCACAGTCAGCCAGCCGGGGAAAAGGGCCACGAGGGGCAGAGATCCTAGGGATGTAAGTCACAGGTCACCCTGAGCACCTTGGCCCAGAGTCCCCTAAGCTAAACTTAGAACTGGGGTCCCCCAGAATTGGGGAGACCTGGCCAAGCTCAAGATATGACCTCACCTCCTACAATCCCAAGCAGCACCCATCTCTTCCTACCTCTTGCCAGGTTTCCCCTTCACGTTAGAGCTCCCTGAAGGGGGTAGGGGCTGTACAGGCCCCTCCCCTGGACCATCCAGGTTATCTGTGCTTCTGGCCTGTGGGAAGAAAAAGGTGCCTGAGGAATGCCTGGCCCCTAGCTAGAGTGTCCCTAGAACCTAGAGCTACCAAGGAGGCCCAGATGCTATTTCTTCAACAGTAGAGCCAGAGAACAAGACAAGGTGGCCACATGCGTGGTTGGGATAGGACTAAAAAAAGAAGTCCAATAGGACTCTCGAGTGCAAGCAAAGGCAGGGCCAGAACATTCCAGACACTTTGAAGGTAGCACCTATCCTTTGCAACGAGATGTCAGGAAGTGCACAGAAGAGAAGTTGTGTATGTACCTGTGTGTGCATGTGCGTGTGCGTATGTGTATATGTGCATGCGTGCGTGCATGTGTGTGTGTGTGTGGTGGGGAATCTTTGGATGGAGAGAGTGGGGGAGAGGAGGCCATAGATACAATGTCAGTAATAATAATAGTAATTATATAGCACTACTCTGTTGCCAGGCACTGTCCTAATGCTTTACAATATTATCTTAACTGATCTTCACATCGACCCTGGGAAGTACGTACTATTATTATCCCTATTTTACAGATGAAGTAACTGAGGCTGACAGAGAGGAAATGTCTTGCCCAGGGTCACCTAGGTAGTGGGTATCTGAGGCAGGATTCACACTTGAATATTCCTGATTCCAGGCCCAGTTCTCTATCCATTGCACCACCAGCTGCTCCAAGACCCCCTTAACATGGGACAAGAAGAAAGGATGCAGAAGGGGTGTAGGGAATGAGGCATTCTGTGGAGACTGGCAAATCAGGAAGATGCTGTAGTTAGAGTGAGGATGGGATAATGTTCCGATAGACCCAAGAAAGAAATGAGGGCCAGTGAAGAGAGTGGAAGGGTGAAAGAAGACCCCCATCAGGCAGAAATGGTTGGCTGAACCAAATGGGGCTGGGACAGGGTGGCCACAGGCCAGGGGAAAGTAGTAGGGGGAAGGCTGTGATGACAGGGCAGACATGAAGAATGCTCAGGCTAGAGGCAAAGGATGGGATCAAGGCAGAAGGGCTGAAGGGGACAGGGTCGGAGTAGCTGGCTAGGGCTGGGAGCGGGTGAATGGGTAGTTGGGGAGGGGAGAAATGGACCAAGTGGGCTAGGGCTAAGTTGGGATGGGAACAAGCTATGGCTATGCAGCAGAGACATCGAAGGGGCTGGGCCAGGGACAAAAGGAGCCCTTGGGTGGCCTGAGGTGACCAGGCATCATCAGGCTGAAGGGAGAGGTCAGGGTCGGATGAAGGATGGGACTAGGCTGCAGAGGAGCCAGGGAGGATGGAGCAGAGTGAGGGGAGGACAGATAAGGGGGAAGGTGTGGCCAAGGCCAAGGAAGTCAGGCAGTGCTGAAGGGGAAGACATATCAGGTTTAGAGGAAGATAGAGTCAGGCTGACCAGACAGAAGAAGGCTGGGTTGAGGGGAGGACAGAGCCCAATGAGGAGGAGGATGGAATGACCTGCTGAGAGAGAAGACAGAGACTCTGGAAGAGGAAGATGGAGACCCTGGGAAGGGAGGACGGAGACCCTGGGTGGGGAGGATGGAGGACTCACTGAGGGGAGGATGGAGACCCTGGGAAGGGAGAATAGAGGCCCCAGGAGGGGAGGACGGAGACCCTGAGAGGGAAAGATAGAGGACTCACTGAGGGAAGATCCCAGGAGGGGAGGACGGAGACCCTGGGTGGGGAGAATAGAGGCCCCAGGAGGGGAGGACGGAGACCCCGAGAGGGAAAGATAGAGGACTCACTGAGGGAAGATCCCAGGAGGGGAGGATGGAGGACTCACTGAGGGGAGGATGGAGACCCTGGGAGGGGAGGACGGAGACCCTGGGTGGGGAGGATGGAGGACTCACTGAGGGCAGGGTGAAGACCGCGGGAGGGGAGAATAGAGGCCCGGCCTGAGCGGCAGGGCCCCGCCCCGCCCCCGCTGCCCCCCCACCCAGACGGACAGACAGACAGCCGGACGCCGCCCCCGCCCCGCTCACCACCATGGCCAGTCGCGCCGCCGCCGTCACCCTGTCACCCCGGGCGGGCGAGGGGCCCGGAGGGGATCAAACTGCACTCCTCCTCCTCCTCAGGCCGGGGCCTCCTCCTCCGCAGCGTCCGTCTCCGCTGCCGCCATGGCGACACAATGGGGAGAGGGGCGCGCGGGCTGAGGCCACGCCCCTAACGGCCCCAACGGCCGGGCGCGCGCAGGGGGCGTGGACAGGGAGGGCGCCGGCCAGCCAGAGGGGAGGGCAAGCCCCACCCCCGCCCCGTCGGCTCTTCATTGGTCACGGGCCCGCTAGGCCCTGCCCACTCCAGTGTAGCCCCGCCCCACAGGGCCCGCCCCCGGGAGCTGTCCGGGCCGGCTGTCAAACAAAGCGGCTTGTGTCACGAGGCTGTGTGTCTGAACCCCGAGGGAAGGGGAGGGGGGCCCCAGGGTGCTCCCGGCCTCCCGGAGGGGCAGCGCGGTGCCAAGGGGGGGCGCATGCCACCGAAGTCCGAGCACCTGGCTCTGAACTGAAGCCAAGTCATTGACCACTTACGGGCCCTGAACAGTTCCCTGAACCTCAGTTTCCCCATCTGTACAATGAGGAGGCTGCCTTCTGAAGCCCTGTACAGCTTTAGAACAAGGCTCGCTGTTTGTGTCCACAAAAGGGCCCCTCTCTCCTTCCTGAATCCGACACACTTGTGGCCTCACTTCCCAAATGTCCCCAAACCTTCCCATCCTCCCATCCTTTTTAAGGTTCTGGCCCCTCTGGCCTCAGCCCCTGACACAGACATTCTCTGCAATAAGCCCCCTCCCCACTTCCTCTCCTCCTCCCCGGGGCTGGAGGATGTTTGCCCCCAGGATCCTGAGGGCAGGTGCCGCTGGAGGGTCCGAAGATGCCTCCTCCACAGACCTAGCCCCTGGCTCCAGGCTCTGCCCTCCCTTCCTCCCCCATCACTGAAGAAAGCAACTGATCCAATTTATTGAACATTTATTCCTCAATCCTATGTCTGCTGGAGATCTCCTTGGGGGAGCTCAACATGCTGGCTGGCTGGAAATTGGGCCCCAAGTTCTTGGGGTCCATGGGCTTGAACAGGCGCTTGTCAACCTCCCTAAGGAGTGGAAGGAAAGGGGTTTGCAAAGAAAGAGGCAGGAGGAACAGGCAGGGACAGGGGACTGGAGGAAGGCCACAGCAGGGCCTAAGCTGGGAGGCTCAAGGGTGGTAGGTCCTAGGACAGGGCGGAGGGGCCCACAGAGCAGGGCTGGCGTGGGGCAGTGTGGCTCCAGGATTATGTGTCCTACTGAGGAGGGGGCTTTCTGTGGGAGGGTGGAGGAGGGTCACCTCAAGCATGACCGAAGCTCTGAACGCTTGGCCCGGAGCACCTGCAGCAGAGCATCTTCTTCAAAGTCTGTCCCATCTGAATCTGGGAAGGACAGGAACAGGGATGCTCCTATGGATCTCCAGGAGTGTCAAGGATGACCCATGCCCAGCTCCCAGCCTCTTCCTGATGCTGTCACCTTCTGCAGCTTCCAGTAACCCAGAAGCCAAAGCTAGCAGCTCCCTGGGGGGTGGAGTCTCAGCAGGAGGAGGGGGGGCCTCACAGGGGCAGGGGGAGTCTTCTGAAGATCTTGGGAAGAGACGTGCAGCCACCACCTGCTCTAGGGCCCCCCTCAGCAGCAGTCCTGCCCTGGGAGCCTGGCTTTTGGTGTCTGGGTTCCGGGCCTTTCTGAGCTTGTGGTCCTGCCTCTTAGGCTCAGAGGGGCCCCTAGAACTTGGGAGAAAGGCCCCAGACTGGAATCTTTTGCAATCTGTTTCTGGAGAACCAGAGTGAAGAGGAAAAGGGCTCTGACATGTAGCAAGGGAATTTGGCACTGATGGCTGGGGGCTTAGCTGGGAGGCACAACTTGGGGCAGGTGGGCTTGGCTGAGGGGTACAAAGAGGCACCACAGGACTCGGGTGGGGAATAAAAGGGGAGTTTGGAAGGCATGGCTGAGGAAGACTAAGAGGGACTGGAGGGTTTGGTTGGGGAATATTGAAAGAAACTGAGGGACTTAGCTCATGTGGACAGAGGACAACAGGGCTCTGCTGAGGCCCACAGAGGGGGACTGGGGTTACCTGCTGGGACCCGCAGAGGGGGACTGGGGGGACCTGCTGGGGCCCACAGAAGGGGACTGGGGGGACCTGCTGGGGCCCATAGAGTGGGGCTGGGGGGGTCAGTTGGAAGTTGCTGAGAGGGGCAGAGGGGCTAGGCTGGGGGTTGTTGAGGGGGCCTAGAGAGTTCAGCTGGTTGGCAACAGTGGGTCCTGGAGCATATATCTGGTGAGGCTTAGGCTGACCATGGGTCACAGTGACCTGGAGGAGGAGCACACAAGAAAGATCTTTGAGGGGGTATGCCTCCCCATCTCCTGCTCCTATCCCCAAGTCCCCTGGGCCTCACTTGCACTCCATACCAGGGCCCTGCTGGGGAGCCAGGGCTGTGCCTGGGGCCCATCTGCGCACTGGTCCCGGGCCTGCTCCATTTTCCTCCGGAGACGCCACTGGGAGAGGATGTCATCCTCTGGGCGGGCCACAGATGGCAGAGGGACCTGGGTCCTTGTCAATGGGGCTGTGAGAAAGACCTCTGACTTCAGACCGAGGTCAGGATATGTGTGTGTGTGTGTGTGTGGTGTGTGTGTGTGTGTGTGTGTGTGTGTGTGTGTGTGTCTGTCCCACTGGCCCCCTGGGGGTTAGGAGGGGGAAGGTGTCAATCTCACCTGATTCTCTGGGGTGAGGGCCTGCTCCAGGGTCAGAGGTGAAGGGTGGGGAGGGGGAGGGGAGGCCCTCAGAGCTGACTGGGATGGAGGTGACTTCATTACTGCTGCTGGAAGAAATCTCACTGGGGGAAATGAGCAAGATAAAAAGGTCAGAGGAGGCCTGGGGAGGGGTCTGTCCAACAAGCCTTCTTAAGCTTCTCCTACACCCAGCCTAGCACTGCCTTGGACTCTGACCACTCGACTGTCTCTACCCATAAAGATCTGTTCTAATTGGGGGTGGGGGAGTGGCAGGTTATAGCACCTATACAGAAGAAATAACAGCAAATACTTATATAGAACTTTAAGGTTTGTAGTTATAAATACTGTCACAATGCCCCATGAAGCAGGCACTATTAGTATCCTCATTTTATTGATGAGGAAACTGAGGCAAATCAGGTGAAGTGACTTGCCCAGGCTCACACAGCTGGTAAGTATTTGAGAGATTCTGGCAGGAAGAATATTGGGGGAAGGGCTACAAAGATATGGAGGGCTGTGTACACACAGCTGCCACTGGTCAGTTGGACTGGAATGCAGGTTAGGAGTTAAAGTGAAGGAAGCCCAGAAAGGGGCAGGGGGCTAATGCCAGGCTGAAGATTTTATTTATCATAAAGGTAACACAGACCCACTAGAACTTTGGGGGGGGAGAAGGGGGAAAAAGGGGGAACCTGGGACTAGAAAAGGCAGTCACCTCCGGAGAAGAAGCTGGGCTGCCCTGTCTTGGAGACTCAGGGCCTCGAGGTCCAATGCAGATGTATCAGAGGCTTCCAGTGGAGACACATGGCCCTGGGCCAGAAGAGGAGGAAAGGCCAAGGGCTTGGGCCCCAGCAGGGCAACTGTCCCTCTCCTCCCAAAGGGTCAGTCACCAACCACATCCCCATTTCCCAGAGGGATTGCTAGGGAGGGAGGTCCAGAACCACGGTTCTCCCATGGGCCCGGGGCCAGGCGGTTCCCAACCTGCTCTGCTACAGCCCCGAGACGGGAGGCCACAAGCCCGGTTCTGCCTACTTCCAGCCCCATCTGCTTTGTGACTTTGGGCTCTGATCACAGTCTCTTTACTGCCACAAAGGAATGACAAACCCCTCGTACTGTCCCTCTCTGGGGGATGGTAAAAAAGCACTGAGGATCCTGGTCTTGGAGCTGGGCTGCCCACCCCCTGAGCTACAACTGTCCCTTCAACCATCAGTCACCCCGTGTGCTCCTGACATGCAGGCTTCCATCCTTGATGCTCCTGCCCTCTGCGGCATGGTCTGGGTTGGGATGGCTGGGCTGAGTCTTCCTCCTCCAGCCTCCTTATCTGCAAGAAACGTAATCACCAGCAGCCCTCCCATCTCTTTGTAAGACGCCCATCTAGACCTGCCAGTCACCCCAGAATGCAGGCTTGCTGTTGGCCTGGTTCCCTGGGCAATAGGGGTAAGGGGGTCCCCATGCAGGTACCTGCTGAGGGACCAGGGCAGCCCAGGGTTGGGGGCTGCAACCACCAGAAGTCAGCAGCTGCGGGGCCTGCTGCCTGCCGCTCCTGGCGGCTGGTGGGCTGAGCCTGCCGGAACCGAGCCATATACCTGTCACAGGGAGAGGGAAAGGGAGGAGGCCAGGCTCAGGCCAGGGAAGCTCCTTTCCTCCCATTCCTCCCAGATTCTGGTTCTTCCTACTTACTTGGCAAGCACAGAGTCCCCTAACTGGTCTGTCTGTTCTTCAGGAAGATCAGAGGGGGAGGAGAGGCTTGTGGAAGGCCACAACTCTTCAAAGTCTGGGGATGTGGGGGCTGGAGGAGAAGCTGGGGGGCTGAGCTGAGGTGGTCGTGATGGGCTCAGGACCTGGAAATGGGGAAGAAAAGCTGAGGCTCCAGGCTCCCTCCCAGACCTTCCTCCTCTATCCCTCCCCACACAAACCAGCTTCCTGGACCTAGCCCTAATTTCGGACCGACTTAGACACTGTCAAGAGATTTGGTCCCTCCTGTTTCTGTCCCAGTAATCCATAACCCCTCCATTCTGGTCTAGGCTCTATCACTGGGGGCAGTCACTGAAGACCAACAGGCCCATGTTTTTCCACTGCTCGCCTGCTCCAGGTTCGAAGGGTGGAAAGAAGCATCTCTCTCGTTCTGGAAGGCCGATCCACTTCCTTTGACAAAGGAGGAAAGGGAGGCCTCGGGAGATGACTTGTCCAAGGTCACACACACAAGCAGTAAAAGAGAGAGGTGAGATTCAAACCCCTTCTGCCATGCCCTTTGACCCCAAATCCAGCCCTTTCCACTGTTCTATTCTATCTTTCAATAGGAAGCATTTTCCTCAGGACATTTCAGGAGTCCAGTCATCAGAAGATCATTCTCCTCGGACCCATTTTACAGGTGGTAGCAGCTTACTAACTTGCCCAAGGGGTCACAGAGCTGATGGCAAGCCTCCAAGCCCAGTGAGTCCCCTGACTGAAGGATTAGCAGCCTTGGGGCTGGAAAAATGAGCACTGAAGAGAGGCAGCTGTGCTGAGGTGTAAAGGTCACTCGCTGGACCTGGAGTCAGACCCTCTCTGGGCCTCGGGCTCTTCCTCCATTGGGCCAGATTGCCAAGTCCTATGATTCTCTGACTTACCATCTGATCTAAGCCTCAGAGGGCACCTGGATAGATACAACTTCATAATTCAATTTAACAAACATTTATTAAGTGTCTATCACATGGACGGCTCTGGCCTAGGCTGGGGAGAGCAAAGCCCCTGCCCTTCAGAGCTTCTCCAGAGGATACCATGCCTGTGGGCTCACCTAAATGAGGAGGAGGCCCATAGGCATTTTGGGCCTGGGCCTTAGCTTCTTCATCTGTAAAATTTCTTCCTACACCCCTTTCCCCTCCGGATGTAGAGTTCTGTTTCTCACACTCACACTCTATCTCCCCATGCCACGCCAGGACATGGCAGGAGCTCTCTCCCTTCCCATCCCTGCTTCCTGTGTCAGCTTGCCTTCGGCAAGGCCTTTCCCAGGCTCCTCAATCTTAGTGCCTTCCCTCTGGATCGTCTCCAATGCTCTTGTCTTTGGTTTATACCTAGCTATTTGCACACCATCTCCCCTTTGGAGAGCAGGGACGGTTTCTTCATAAACGCCCATTAAAGGGGAGGGGTGGCAAAATAAATGCTAGTAATTGGCTCCTGATCCATACTCCTAAACCTGAAAACGTTATGTTAACGGCAGTCATTCTAAGAGGGTGAGTTCCAGGGGAGGGACTTCGGAGAACACTGGGGGAGGGGGCAACTTTGTGGCCTGGGTCCCCCTCTGGACCTATGGGCTCCACTTCAGAAACTGACAAGAGGAGACCCGCGGCATCGGGTGGCCTGCAGGGGGAGTGCCTGGGCTTCCCTGCGTGACACTACGGCGGTCAACTCCGCCAAAAGTTTATTTTTAGAGGGACAGGGTGGCCAGGCCTGTGAGAACCCACTCTGAAGATGGAGAAACTGAGGCACCGGGGAATGGGGAGGGAGAAAAGCCTGGAGCAGGGACCAACCACCCGCCACAGTCCAGGTCTAGCTCAGCACAGGGTCAAGCCTCCTCCCCGCAGCACGCCCCGGAGGGCGTGTCCTCACCGAGGTCCGGACCTCGCCTCCGCAGCCTCGCTCTCGCTCCAGCGACGGGCGGTAATAGCTCCGCCTCTTAGGGGGCGTGGCTTTGCAGGAGCTGCCCCGGAAGGAAAATACGGCCAGGCTGGATAGGGAACAAAGGGGCGGAGTTAGAAGGGCCGAAAGCGGACTACGACTCCCAGGAGGCTATGGTTCCGCGTGGGAACAGTGGTTCCCGCCCGGGGAAGCGCGCCCATCGTAGGGCCCAGAGGCCCGGTCCTCACCTGTTGTCCATTCCGTCGAAGCCACAGCCGTCCCCGCTACCTCTTCGAACCTTTCTTTTCCCTTCTCCCGCCTCGGAGCCGGCGCTGTCCGTCGCTAAGCAACAACCCCCTCAAACCCGCCCCCTTCGCCGGAAGCACCGGGGCGGGAAAAGTGAGCGGCCCCGTCGCCCTCCAACCTCCTCAAGGTGCCGCGCCTTGGTGCGCTTGCGCAGATGCCGCCTTCGTCCATTCGTGGTTTTTTCCTGCGGGGGCGGGACTTCAGAGGAAGGCAGGCGCCATTCTATTGGCTACTCCTCCTTCTAGGCCCATAAATAGGGTGTGATGATTGACAAGGGCTCGGCCACCAGCACGGGGTGGGTGGCACTGGGCGCCCTGGATTCCCTCGCGGGACGAAGATTCTGCCCTTTCGGGGGTTCCGGCTCTCGTCCGAGCAGCCCGGCCTCCCTTCGCCGCCCAAGTCCACCAGGAGCGTGGGCGGCTCCCCACGCGTGCTCGGGGGCGCTCGCTGTGCGGCAGAAGTTCCTGGCACAAAGACGGCTGCATCCACATCCCCCCCGCCGGGAGGGGGGGAAGTTCCTCACTGACCTCCCTGTTCCCCGGCTGCACCCCCTCCTCATTTTCCCTTCCCCTTTAGGTGACCCCTCTCCCCGGGGCCCCTCAGCTAGGGCCACAAATAGGATTCGGAGTTGGAAGTTCATTGTTCCCATTTTACCGGTGGGGAAACCGAGGCCCAGAAAGTTCAGTGCGTGGCGGCGTGATGCCCCATGCTGGGCAGCAGGGCACCGTCTTTGTTTCTTCAGCTGGCCCCTCCGGGTGCCAGGCATTCTTGGTGCCCGGGCCAGGGTGCCCACAGGTGGCGGGGATCAGCGGGCCGAGCTATTTCTGCCCGTCCCAGATGCCCCCTGGCCCCGCGCCGAGGGGCACAGCGCGTCCTGGCCTCCCTCTCCTGGGGCCGTGACTCATCCGTCAGCTGGGGGGCAGGGTCGCGCACCTGGGGAGGGGGCGGGCCCAGAGCCTTGCCGGGCCTCTGCCCGGGGACTGAACCCTGGATTCAGGGAGCCCCGGCTCGGGGCAGGGCAGCCTGCATCGGTCTGGGCACGGTCCTGAGGCGTGGGCGGGCTGGCCCTTCAAAGCGGAATCGTCTCTAAGGAGGATCCCACATTCCCAAGGACAGGACGTCAGGGTGCCCTGGAGCTGCCTCACCTGGGGCGGGGCCCCCATCCCTGCCTCTTTGCCCCCCAAAAACCTTGGAGGTGCATACGGTTAGCTGATGCTCCCTGGTTATCACGGGCTGGGGGAAACAGATCCCAGGAGGGAGGCGGAGGTGCCATAATCCTCGGATAAGACGGTGCCCCCCCCTCCAAATGCCAGACCCATGGCTTCACCCCAGCCCCCACCCAGGCAGGCAGGCCCCAAATGGAAATAGGGCCTGCCAGGCAGGCAGCCTGCGTCACTACCCAGATCAGGAGCTGGCCCTGGGGGGTGGGGGGTGACTTAAAGGGGAAGGCCGCCTGATGCCCCGGGCTGCCGTGGGCTCCTTTGGGGAGGTGCACAGCAGTCGCTCTGGGGCCTGCCCATGCTCTCCTGAAGCTCTCACACACTGGCACGTTTGTCCATAGCTCTCCCTTGTCTGCACTAACTAGGCTTCTGAATCCTGTGGGGGGAAGGGGTTCTTAGCCGTCCAGTGGCTTTAATAAACATCTGTGAACATGAAGGGTGTTGGCTTGGTAGTCTCCCTGGCTGTGTTGTGTGTCTGCTCTGTCGGGGACTCTTCCCTTCCCCTCCCTTCTCTCCTGGCTGGCAGCGAACTCTCCAGAATCCTGCTCTGGGGGAGGGAGGGGACAGGGGGGGAAGGCGGGGGCCTGCTATAAAAGGGCCAGGTCGGGTGCCCACTGGGGACTTGTAGCTGCCCAGCCCGACCATGGAGATCCCTGTACCCATCCAGCCATCCTGGCTGCGCCGCCCGGCCCCCCTAGCATTCCCCAGCCTGACCACCCCTACCAGGCTCTTCGACCAGCGCTTTGGGGAGGGTCTGCTGGAGGCCGAGCTGGCTGCCCTCTGCCCTCAGGCCCTAGCACCCTACTACCTTCGGGCACCTAGCGTGGCCCTTCGGGCTGATCCTGGCCCCGGACAGGTATGGACCTTCCCAAATGCTTCCCGCTTCTCCCCTCCTCTGCTGCCTCTTAAGGGGTCTTTTTGCTGAATGGCTACTCGTTTGGGGGAGGGGGCGCTTTTCTCAAGGCCAGGGAAGACCCACCCCATTGCCAAAGGACCCCAGGTCAGCTCTAGAGAGAACCCCTACTGATCCAAAGGATCAGGGCCTCTTAAAAGCAGGGGGCCTTCCCCAACTTCACCTTGGGCACTCCCCCAGACTGACCCTTCTCTCCAGCAGACTTTAGCCATTCCCCCTTCTTCCCACGCCCAGAGGATGTTCACCATTGCCCAGAAGCTCTTTGCACAGAGACTATTGGTGTCATCCCTCAGGTACCTCTCCCCATAACCCTGGAGGTCTTCTTACTGACCTTCCCTGACCTCCCCAACAGCACCCCTCCTGAGCTCCCTAACCCCTAACTACAGGTGACCCTGGCCAAGGGGGAGTTTTCAGTGCTACTGGACGTGAAGCACTTCTCCCCAGAGGAGATCAATGTCAAGGTGGTGGGGGAGCATGTGGAAGTGCACGCCCGCCACGAGGAACGTCCGGTATGTTGGGGGGGGGCAGCCTCATCCTTCGCTGGGCAGGAGGCACAGCAGGGGAGGCTGGGGGGGACAGAGGAGGAGAGGAGCAAGGAAAGAAGGCAGGGAGGGAAGTGAGGAAGGGGTGCAGGGGCATGAGTCACCCTGGCTCAAAGGGGGATGCTATCATATTGCAGGATGAGCACGGCTTCATCTCTCGGGAGTTTCACCGCCGCTATCGCCTACCAGAGGGTGTGGACCCTGCAGCAGTGACCTCAGCCCTGTCTCCTGAGGGGATCCTGTCTATCCAGGCCCCGGCCACCACCCCTGGCACTCAGGCTGCTGAGCGCAAGGTGCCCATTGCCCAGGGGTCAGTGCCTGAGGCTAAGTAGGCTGCCACATTCTGACCCTGCTCCCAACCAACCCTCCCCCATATTCCGAGCTCTAATCACCCATCCCTGACCCCCCTCTCTCCTGTCTTCCCCTCCTTATTCTCCCCCCCCAGTCCCAAACACTAGCCCTTCTTGCCCAAGGTGCAGCCTCTGTCCTCCTCATACCCAAGCTGGGACTTCCCTTACCACTCTCCCACCCCCATCCTTGTCCTTTTGTACAGTCCCAGCTTTGTTCCTCCCAATAACACCCCCCTCACCCCCATGCCACACGCTCTGGAAAGGCTCTGCCTCCAGGACCCAATAAATGCACCGGGCCTCTCCCCTGGCTGGAGTCACATGTGTGGGCCTTAGAAGAGGCAGAGAACAGCCAGAGGGGCTGGGGTCGGGGGACACTTTTATTGGGGGGAGGTCACTGGCGCTCATACATCTCACGCAGAATCTTCATGCTCTCAGAGTAACGCAGCTGGTTCCGATGGGAAGCTTCCTTCCACCTGGAGGATGACAGGCTGTCAGGGCCAGGGATGGCCTGGGGTGGGAGGGTTAAAGGACCAAGCTGGGAGCAGGTTTGGGGGTGGGGGCTGCGTACCTCTGCCTGATGCGTTTCCAACGTTCCATATTGCGGTAGATAAGGGAGGATATGGTTGGGGCTGTCTCAGGGGGCTGCGTAGAGAGAGGGAGAGGCCGAGTCTGGGTTGGGAAGCTGGTTTACAAATGGTCTGAGAACCCGACATATCTCCTTCCAAGAACTCCTTTAGGGCTCTAGGGTCTACTTACTGGGTCCTCAGAGGCCTCCTGGCCCTCTGGCCGAAGTGGGGAGGGGATTCTGGGGCTGGGGGCCTCACCAGGAGGGCAGGGGGCGGTGGGGGGTGGCAGCTTGTACACATCTCGGTTCTTCCCGTTGGTGACCTCGGTCCCCTTTGGAAAGAATCAGCCCCAAAGTCCCTGTGTCAGGTTCTGCGGGGAGGGTGCAGCCCTCTTCCCTCCCTGCCCCTCACCCCAGGAACTCTCACCTCCTCATCCTCTGGCTGGGGAGGCGGAGGGGGGCTGGGAGAACGCTCCGGCTCCCGGACAGAAGGGCAGTTCCTCATCCAGGCCCGGCAGATGGGGTAAAGCGGCGTGTTCTCACTGAACTGGGCCAGGTCCACACTTCGGTCAAACAGCTTAATGGTGTAGGTGTCTGGGGGGTGAGGGGTAAAGGCCACACTGAACCCACCAGGTGCTAAGTGGACAGCTGGCCTTCATATCTGGCTCTCACCTCATCCTGCCCCAGTCTCATCGTATGGATGAGGAAACTGGGGCAGGCTTCCTGACTTCCAGTAGAGCTGCCAGTTCCCAACAACCCCCTTCTCACTGACTAGCACTCACTGGGTCTCTGCTGTCCCCCCTCCGCAAGTCCGTCCTCCATTTCCTTCCTCTTCTTCCTCCTGTGATGAGGGAACCTGGCCGATGGCCTGCAGGGAAAGAGATTGGGAGCTGACTGGACGGGAAGAGTGGGACTGGACCCAGCCATATGCCCCCCACCCACCGGAGCCAAAGGGGTCCAAGGGCAGGCTTGGACCCAGGGCAGGATGAAGTCAGGTTTGGGAAGGCCTGGAATGCCAGGATGAGGAGGGTATGGTTTATTTGGCAAAACAACAGAAAACCCAGAGCAGAGAGGTCTGGGCCAGACAGGAATGTGGGAGGAGCCCACATAAAAGCCGAGGGCCCTCCCCTGCCCCATCTCTCCCCCAGCTGGGGAAGCCAGCTTACCGCTTGCCAGCTGATGTGATAGAACAATCCCTAGGGAGAAGAAAAACAGCGTCACCCCAGCCCATAGAACCCCAGGGGCGTCCAGTGATCCCCAGCCCACCCAAACCTGGCCAGTGACCTACTTGCTGTGAGCATCGGAGGGCGTTTTTCCGGCCTCCTCCTCCAGCTGTTCCCTTTGGGAGACAGAATTACAGAAGGTCAGACCATAGGGTTGACCCCCTGGCCCTCCTAGCTCGGATCCCTCCAGAGTGTCCTGAAGAAGTCCATTCTGCAGCTGGACGACTCTGCTGGAAGCTACATTTAGCCTTTCAGAGTTCTCCCCCGGGGGCACAGGGCAGCCTGGAAGTCGGGGATCTAAGTCTCCTCCAGGCTAAACCTCCCACATCTCTTCACCAGCCCTAATCACTGAGCTACCTCACCCTCCCCATTTACAGAGGAACCAAGGAGGCCCAGAAATGGAAAAGGACTTCCTTGAGGCCACACAGCAGGCTGCTGGCAAGCAGACCCAGCCAGAGGCTCTTTCCCTGAAGCTGCCTCTGATGTGATGGTTTCAAGGACCCCCCACCAGACTCCAGGCTCCAGGTGGGATGTATGTGACCAGAACAGCTTTGAGCACAGCCTCCTTGGGGAGGGGGAGTCTTCCTAGCTGGACCTACCTGGCCTCCCCCCCCCCCACCGCCCTCACCGATCCACATCGGTCTTCTCCAGCAAACACTGCAATACAGCGTCCAAGTGGTTCCTGGCCTTGGACATCTCCAGCTCTGGGGAGGGGAAAGATCAGAGCCTCAGGCAACATCTGGTCACAGATGGGGAGGTCCTCAGGTTACCCGTGGGGAAACAGAGGCCCAAGTGGACTAGTGGCTGGCTCCCAGATCCCGACTGGCTGGGATCTGGGTCAGATGTCTCCAAATGGGCAGGAAGGAGGGAGGCATGAAGGACAGGCTGACTCCAGAGTCAGAGCCCAGGGGAGTGTCCTCACCCTCCAGCTTAGGGACCGCGCCCCACCCCCCATGCTCTGACTGCAAGTCAAGCCCCGGCCCCCTCCCCAGGTTCCAGGCCCCAGACATGCAGGCAAAGAGCTCAGCAGAGCCTAGAAGGCTCTGGAAATCCCCAGGAGTCCAGGCCCAGCTCCTCCCAGCCCCCCATCCACCTCAGCAGTCCCCAGGCCCCATCCAAGGTCCTCCTCACCTAGGACACCTCAGCCCCACTTCTGTTCTTTTCTCTCCTGGCCAACGTGCTTGGTCACCGGGACCAAGGTCCCATCTCTCCCCCTTCCCCATGGTCCTATATGAAGCCTGACATCCTCCTTTCCCACTGAGAGCCCCCTTGGTCTCCCCTGGTCCACTCCAGGGGAGCGGCCCCCTAAGCCCTCTCCCCAGAGTCCAGCTCTGAGCTTAAGCGTCCAGGTGTCAAGAGCCTCCCCTTGGGGTCTGCGTGTTGGGGAGACAGCAGCCTGTCTCTCAACCTGTCTCCAGCCCCATCCCCTTCCAGGCTCAGCTCCCAGCCTGCCTCCTCCAGGCAGCCCTCCCAGATTGCTTCCTTCCTTCCTCCAGGTTCCTTCTCCCTGGAAGGTAGCCCCTCCCGATCCCTCCTCCTCCAGGCAGCCCTCTGTCCTCCCACTTCCAGCAGGTCCTGGATCCCTCTTCTTCTGGGGAGGCGCCCCTCCCCCCTTCTCCAGGTAGGCTTCCCAGATTGCTTCTTCCCTATATCCCACATCCCACTGCTCCCTGCTCCCTCCTCCTTCTCCTCCGGGAAGCACCTCCTTCCTTGCTCCTTCCTCCTCCACGCAGCCACCTGCACCCCACATTGCTCGCACTGCTCCCTTCTCCTCTAGGCTGCCCTCCCGGATTGTTCCCTTCTCCCCTGGGGGTGGTCCCCGGGAGTCTCCTGATCCTCCCTTACCTGACTTCTCCACTTTCACCTTCACGGGGAACATCGCTCCGGCCAGGGCTCCGGTTCCGACGGAGGCAGGAGGGTTGCCAGCAGTGCCCCAGGGCGGGGACGGCAGCAGGGGTCAGGGGTCAGTCCAGGAGGTCCGGGGTCAGAGCTGGGTCCAGCCACGCGGCAGATGGGAGGCCAGGTTTGGGAGGAGAGCCTCTCTCTCAGCCCAAGGAATCCCACCTTCTCGGCCCAGGACGTGAGGACCACCCCGGACAGACAGCTCCTCACCTCCGCCTTAGGCCACCGCAGAGGCTTAGCTCCCACTGTCTCACCCTGGCCCGCCCGCCCCTTGCTTCTATTGGGCGGCGGGGCCGCTCGTCTAAAGAGTGGACGAATCAGAAGCCGCTAACGGCCCCCTCCCGCTCGAAGCCCCACCCCTGCACCATTCTTCCGGAAACCAACTAACGTCCCCTGGGCCGGCCGCGCGGCGCCTCATGGGAGGTGTAGTTCGTGCCCCGACCTTCCCTTCACGTGTCCCCTGAGCCCGGCCGCGCGAGGCACTATGGGAGGCGCAGGCTGAGTATGCCGCGCCACGGCTCTTGGGACTTGTAGTGCCAACGGCTTAAAGGGGCTCCTAGACGAAAAGGGAGGGAGAAAAGGGACCTCGCGGCAGTTCTGCGTTGCTAGACAACGGATTCCGCCTCTTTAAACAACCGGGCAGCGCGGAGTTGACTTCACTAGTCTTGGTCCATTTTACAGATGTGGGAAGTGAGATTTGTACCGTAGGGCAAGGCGGATGGTCCATTGTGAACTAAACTGAGAGGGCTTCCAGATTATTCCCTGCTCCAGCCAGCCGCGGATCCCACCACCTCCGCACCAAAACAGAAGCCACCCCGCAGGGCCCTCGGATTCCCCCCTAATCTGCCCGCAACCCTCACATACTCCACAGTCCGGCCAAATGGAATAGCTGTTTCCGGAATTCAGCCCTCCCGGTTTAAATCCCCTAAACACCCTGAGCTTCGAGGGGGGTGGGCTAGGTGACCTTTCAGGTCCCTTCCAACTCTAAACCTATGACCCGCTGCTCACCCTCAACCCATTCCTCCATTCCTGGAAGTCAGCCTCTGTTCATCTCTACCTCTAAGAAGTCTTGACTGTTTTTCCTTCAAGGCTCACCGAAAATGCCACTTTCTATAGGGAGGTTCCCCGAACTATCTCCTACATCTTCCCAGGTGTTCATGCCATCTATGACATCCTTCCCAGGAGAACGTTAACTCGGGAAGAGTGGGAGCGTCCCAGAGATCAGCACAGTGTCTTAGACAGAGATGACTGGAACAATTTCTGTCATTTGTATTTGCGTATTTTATATATTCTCTGGTGCAGCTAGATGGCACAGTGGATAGAGTACTGGGCCTTTAGTCAGGAAGACCTAAGTTCTAATCTTCTCTCAGACACTAACTAGCTGTGTGACCCTGAGCAAGTCATTTCACCCTGTTTGCCTCAGTTTCCTCATCTGTAAAATGGAGCTGGGAGAAGGAAATGGCAAACCATTCCAGTATCTCTGCCATGAAAACCCCGAATGGGGTCACAAAGAATCAGACACAACTGAACACCAAATACAATCTCTATCTATACACTTGCACATCCACTTACTTACCTGAAAGTTCTCTCTACTGAGACCCAGTCCCTAACTGAATCATCTGTGTATCTTCCCTATTGCACAGCTAGGGAAAGTCAAGCTCAGATAGGAGGAAGGACTAGCTCAACATCGCAGCAAGCCAGTGAGAGGATAAATTGAAAGCTAGGTCCTGTCTCCAGATCCAGGCCTCTTTTCCCTATAATACCATTCTCTCTCCTCACTTTATTGAGGTACCAGCTCCACTGAGAAGAAAATTAACAATTATAGTAGTCTAAGGGTGACATGTTTTTGCTGTACATCATAGTGGACAAGCTTCCTATCACTGGGACCTGTCAAGGAGATGCTAGTGACCACCTGTGGATAGGGCCTTCCCAGATTTGAGATTCCATGATTCTAGGGTGTGCTCTCTCAGAGATTTCAGTTTCTTCACATGTGAAATATGGAGATCCCACCCCTCCCAGAAAAAAGGGAGTAGGGATCAGCAGTACTCATGAAATATCCCTTTTTTATTATTTGGGAGCCTCAGTGGAGGCTACAGGGAGAAGTGGGAAAAGAAGTAGGAAATTAGTCAGAGACAGATGTTCTGGGGAGCCAGCCCGGCCAAACGAAAGGCCCTGGGGACCTGAAGGATGTTCGATCTTCATCTTTGGAAGCCATACTGGCCCAGTGCTGGAGGCAAGGCAGGGTGAGAAGGTGGCCTGGCCATGAGCTGGCAGGGGAGGGGAGGACCGATCAGGGTATCCCCAGAGGGATGGTGAAGGAGAGATAGTCGCCCAGGGCTCCCCAGCGGGCTCGATTGATCTGGAAGATGGTGATCCAGGAGGTCAGTGCCACGAGCCAAAAGACCAGCCCTAGGGCTGAACGCCAGACGTCTGGAAAGGCCGGAATTGAGGAAAGGAGAGAAGGCAAAAATCATGCCATGCCTTGGCTGGCCAGGAATTTATTTACCACCTGTCCCGCCCCGGCCTTCAGTGTGAGTGCAAGCTCTTCTTCTCTTCTCTTCCCCCCCCCCCCCCCCGCCCCCGCCCCCGCCACGCCTCTAGGGACTTACAGCCTTTGATTTGTCCCTGCTCCTCGTAGGCTGGGGCCAGGAAGGCCTCTCGAAAGAACCACAGAACGTTGACCAGCCAGAGAAAGGGCAGGAGTGCAAACCCGCCTGGAAAGGAAGGGAGTGGGGGGAAAGGCATTGGTTCGGCCACTCCCTCCGGGGGCCCAGCCCCCAACGCCGACATCCACAGGGTGCGGGGGATGGGGGAAGGAGGGACCCCCCGACCCCCTCACCTAGGTAGTATTTCCGGCAGAGGTTCAGCTTCTCCTCATTGGACACCCGTTCCAGGTTCATCCTGGGTCCAGGGGAAGGACGGGGAAGGGCTGCAGGGAAAAGGAGATGAGTCGGGATCTCCAAGCGTCCCCCGCTATCGTACGTGAGCCCCAGTCGGTACGAGTCTTCTGTCGCGAGTGAACGGGGTCCGAATCAGCGAAAGGAGGGGCAGAAAAGAATCACCACCCTCCTCCCCCCAACCCACCCCAGACCAGGGAATAGAAGGGGATGGAGGATAGGAGTGCAGTCCCTCAACTCACCCGCCGCTTTTCCTTCCTCCTTTCTCAATGCGCTTGCGCCTAGTGCAGCCGGGGATTCTGGGGCTTGTGGTCCATCCTCCGCACGCATGCGCCTGACAACTTAGGCGCCCTCTCCCTCGTCTCCAGCCCCCAGTTCTCTCAGGGACCTCTCTCCCCTCTGCCTCGCTCACAGGCTCGGCCTCTCCCGCCTTGCTACTTGCTGGGAGGAGCGGTCCGGGACATGCTTCCCGCGCAGGCACCTCCTCCTACCCGCCGGACTTCAACGCCCAGGATCCTCGCCTCAAAGCCAGCCCCGGAAGCGGCTTATATCACCGGAAGTGACGCCTGAAGCAGACAGGTGGAGCGAGAGGGTGAAAATGGCTGAATATTTAGCTTCGATTTTCGGGACAGAAAAGGACAAGTAAGAATCGGTGGTGGTGGTGGTGATAGGAGGAGCGGTCGTGCTGGGGACCCAGCTATCGGAAACCCCGGGGAGGGGCGGCAGGGATGTCATTTGGTAGGGTCCTGGGGGGGGAATGAGTGACAGGTCCCACTTGGAAGGGTCCTGGAGGAGTGACAGGTCCCACTTGGTGGGGGAGGGGTGGCAGGTCTCACTTGGCAGGGACCTGGGGAAGAGGGATGACGGGAGGGGTGGCAGGTCCCACTTGGCAGGGCCCTTGAGGGGAGGGGTGCGGGTCCCAGTGCTGGGGGAGGGGCAGCAAGGGCCTTACTACCCCGTTCACCCCATATTTTCACCCTTCTTTCAGGGTTAACTGCTCTTTTTACTTTAAGATTGGGGCTTGCAGGCACAGGGACCGGTGCTCCCGGCTCCACAATAAACCCACATTCAGTCAGGTGAGGCAGTCCCCCGCCCTTCCCAAGAGGAATGCCAGGGTTGCCCCCACTCTTGTTCTCCCCAGACCTCACAGCCCAGCTTGTTCATTTCATTAACCCCTCCTCTTCATCCCCCTCCCTCGGCGCCGGCCTCTCTGGCCCCAGGCCGACCCCCGGCTGACCCCCCTCCCCTTACCACCTCATCTCCCTCACCTCAGACCATCGTGCTGCCCAACCTGTACCGGAACCCTCAGAACACGGCCCAGACAGCGAATGGATCCCACTGTGAGGACTGGGGCGGGGGATGGGCATCTGGGGCAGAAGACACCCCTGGAGGGGGCAGGGCTCGAGCTAAAGGGAGCCCAGCCAGGCCCGAGGCAGGAATGGGGGAGTCCTTGTCTTTCGGGGATGGTGACATGAAAGACCGAAGGTCACAAGTGGAGAAGGCCCCCGGAGGAGTCTGCTTTCGACCCTCAACCCTCTTTTCATCCCCGACTTCTCCAGGTCGCGTCAGTGATGTAGCGGTGCAGGAACATTATGACAGTTTCTTTGAGGTGAGAGGAGCCGGACAGGGACGAGATGTTGGGGGCCCAGCCTCCCCCCCACTGTCTGAACCTGACCTCCCATCCCATCCTCCCGACACAGGAGGTGTTCACGGAGCTGCAGGAAAAGTACGGGGAGATCGAGGAGATGAACGTCTGTGACAACTTGGGGGACCACCTAGTAGGGAACGTCTATGTGAAGGTGCTTGAGGCCCCTCCCCTACAGCAGCTGTAAGCCCCGCCCCCAGCTCCAGGCTGCCGGATCTTGGGGCTCTGGCACCGTGGCCTCCCCGCGTTCCCCAGAGCAGAGCCCACCCTGCATCACGCGGGTCCCCAAGGCCCTCTCCTCGAGATCCTACGCCGCCCGCCGCCTAGCCGAGCCTTTCCGAGCCCCTCCCATAGACTGCCCCCTACTAACCCCTGTCCCTGCATCTTACCTGTGCCCCCAGTTCCGGAGAGAAGAAGATGCAGAACGGGCGGTAACCGAGCTTAACAACCGCTGGTTCAATGGGCAGGCGGTGCAAGCTGAGCTCTCTCCCGTCACGGACTTCCGGGAGTCCTGCTGTCGGCAATATGAGATGGGGTGCGGGAGGGGATGGGGGGTGCCTGGAGCCGGTGGGGCGCTGGGCTGGGGGGAAGGGAGACCCCCGGGGCAAGGCAAGGCTGGGGGGGAAGGGAGACCCCCGGGGTAAGGCTAGGCTTGGGGGGGGAGATCCCCCTGGGGCAAAGCTAGGCTTGGGGGGGGAGAAGGGAGACCCCTGGGGCAAGGCTAAGCTGGGGGAGAAGGGAGACCCCCCCCCGCGGCAAGGCTAGGCTGGGCTCAGGGCATTGAGGGGGGCGGTCCAGGCTGTGATTCTGCCTACCCATCTAATGCCACAGCGAATGCACCCGGGGTGGTTTCTGCAACTTCATGCACCTTCGGCCAATCTCCTGGGACCTTCGAAGGCAGCTGTATGGCCGTGGCCTGAGAAGAAGGTATTTGGTAGGGCATGAGCCTGGCCTGGCTAACGGGAAATGGGAACAAGGCAGGAATGTGAATGGGGGCTGGGTTGCTGCGGTCCCCTCTGCTTGATCCTGTGACCCCTCTCCCCCAGGGGACCATCACCCACAAGGCTTGGAGGGGGACACCGCCCTCGAGAAAGGCACCGGAGGAGATTTCCAGACCACCGCCACAGGACGCTTTTGAGACCCCCTACTCGTCCACAGTAGTGCCTTCTCAGGCCCTCCCCAGGACACCTGCTGCTGTGGTCTTCCTTTCCCCTGCTTCTCTTCCACATCCAGACTTTGGGGACCCAGGGACCTCGTAGTCCCTCCATTTCTTTCAAGGAACACAGGAGGAGCAGGAACCCCCTCCCTTCTTCCCCCAATAAAATTTCTTGCCTGTCCTTTAGTCCCTTCGCACTTGGGGTGTTGGGATGCCTCTGCATCCAGCTAGCTTGCAGGGGCTGAGATGGCCGAGGAAGGACAATTGTGAAGTAGAAGGGTGAAGTGCTCTAAGGCTCACAGTGACTCGGAGCTAGCTGGACGGACTTTAGATTAACCCCCTCATTTTACAGAGACAGAAAGGCCTGGAGAAGTCACCAAGGTTCCAGCCCAGGCCACCCCACCCCCACCCCCCAGTGTGGATGACGCAGTCTGCCCGGAAAGGGAAGTTAAGGGAGGGAGTGGGGCCCTGAACAAGACGGCAGGACCAGCTTCAGGTGCCAGGGGGTGGGGTGGTAGTGGGGTTCCTCTAGTGGGGTGGGGGTGGGGAAGCAGGGATCGATAAGTCTGGATTTATGAAGGAGATTCCTGAGGCCACTTTTGGGGACAGGAGGGTGGGGGTGGGACTGGGCATGGCTGACTGTGTCTTTGAGGCAGGGAGTGGAAGGGACAGTTGGGGGCGGGGGAGAGAGGGCTTTGAGCCGTGGGTCCTTGAGGGAGACGGGGTTGGGAATCCTGAAGCCTGGATTTGGGGGGCAGGGTGGAGGGGGGCAAGGCAGGAAGCAAAAACCTTGAAGAAAAGAGCACACAGGTCCTTAGTGGCGAGAGGACTCTCTGACAAGTGAAATGGGATTTTGAGGACCACAATGTGGGGCTGGAGGAGTGGGTCTCTGGTGGGGGTCGGGTGATTATCCCTCTGGCCTAGGCAACTACCATCTGGGTGGTGGCCGGAAACTCCGCTGAGGGCTGAGGTTTTCTCCTGAAACACTAAATTAATACTTGCCTGGGGTAGCAGTGACAACTCCAGGCCTAAAGCCACCCTTGCTCGCAAGCCCCGCCCTTCCCCATGTGGCTCCACCTCCCGCTCTGGGGGGCCACACTCCTCTCCTGGACCTTGGGGACCGCCCCCGTCTCCAGGCACTGCGGCTTTCTGGAGTACTGGGACTCGAAATGCGGATGCTGCAGACGATGTCTGGAGCGCTTCGGCCCGCCTAGCTGCCCAGGTGAGGGACGCTCAAGGGGAGGCAGGGGCTGAGGTTGTGGGCAGACTAGGGAGTTGGGATCTTGCATCTTAGGTGCCCCTTCTCTCCCTCCTTCCGTCAGATTACGAGTTCACCCGCCATTGTGGGCTCAGCGACCGCGGAGACCACCTGGATTTCCCATTTGCTCGGTGCCCACCTGGGCTATGCAACAAGGACAGGGCCGAGCAGTGCAGTCAGTGCCTGGACCATCCTCAGCCCCCATCTCTGCCCCATCCCAACCCCCAGCAGCCCGAAACAGTCGCTCCCAAGCCCTCTGTCCTCTGGTAAGCCCCTGGCTAGCCTGGGGATACCTGGGCCAGGATGAATAAGGTGCCACCGCCTCCCCAAGCCCAGTAACCCTTTTTGGCAAACCCGTACTCCCCTCCCAGGAATCGGTGCCTTTTGGAAAATGTAACAATATCCACAAAATCCGCGTCTGCAAGCCTTGGCAGCCCAGGACCAAGTGATGAGCCTCCTATATCCCCAAGACCCTGGGCGCCTCAACAACGTGAGTGCCGCCCCATTTCGGAGGCACCCTGCCTCCCTCTCCCCATTCACGAGGGTGGTGTGTATTCCATGAGGGCCTATTTCAGCCTTTGCAGGGAGCATGGCCTGGTATGTGGTGGGCATTACCGCCCTTCTGGCAGGAGGCCTGCTTGTTTCAGTGGCCTTACAGACATTGTTGGGGAGGGCTGAAAACGAGGAGAAGGTGGCAGAAGCCGGGGAAGCCTGCAAGTTCTTCCCCCTAACTGAGGGGCCTGGTGAGTCCCTAAGGGAGGAGGGGTGTGGGTCCCCACCCCACCAAACTCAGGACTTCCTTTTTTCCTGACCTTCCTCTTAACTTTCTAGTGCCCCCCACCTTGGCACACCAGCCCCTCTCACGACTTCTGGATGAGCTGGAGGTGTTGGAGGAGCTGGTTGTCCTGCTGGACCCTGAACCGGGGCTCCGCGGGGGCTCTGTGTGGGGAACCACCCGCCACCTGGCTGCCCGTTATGGTCTCCCAGCCTCCTGGACCACCTTTGCCTACTCTCTGCGGCCTGCGCACTCCCCACTTCGTGCCCTGCTGGAGACGGTGACAGCTCGGGATCCCGCTGCCCCGCTGGGCCAGCTGGCCGACCACCTGAGCCAGCTGGGGCGTGGCGATGCGCTGGCTGTGCTGCATAAGCTCAGGTGAGGCCGCCAGGCCAGCAGCTCCCCGGCACCCTCAGTCCCCATCTCCCCCGTACTTTGGTCTGCACGCCCTGCTCAGCCCTCCTTCCCTGCCTCCAGTGATCGTACCAAGAAATAAACCATGCTGCCTCTGCGCTCTGGCTCCGCAGTCTCACTAGGGGGATGTGGTCATTTGAACCACAGGGCTAAAAGCACCCAGGGTTTACTGAACCAAGTGGGCAGGGGCGTCCTGCTAGAGCACACTGGCACCACTTGCTTCCTGCTAGAACTCAGGACGTAAGAGCACCTGGGTTTTCACTTTACAGATGCTGAAACTAAGGAGGCCCACAGGGCTTAGGACCTCTCAGACCTCACACAACTGCTCAGGGCTTCTGCAAAAAGTGTGATAAAACTGAACAAAACAGACTTCCACCCCAAGCAAAGGAGGTACCATCAGCCCCACAGACTCAGAGGCTATGGATCCAAACATTGACGAACTTTATTGTGGGGGGGAGTCCCCCCTGGGACCCCACCTTTTAAATAAAAAAAGTGCATAGAAAAGAAGGGATTTAGAAACCTTTGTACAATGTATCTACATCCTGGACCCTGCAGGCAGGGCTCCCTGGGGACACGTGCTGAGGGTGGAGGGCAGGGGGGAAGCAAGATGGTACAGTATGCGGGTGGGGTCCCCTCGGGGCCCACAGCCGGGCTGGGACGGCAGGGGGTCAGTTGAGGAAGCGGCGACAGCGCTTGGCCCCACAGTTGCAGGGCAGCTTGTTGCTGGCATCCTCGATGGGGAACTTGTAGTCGTAGGTGAGCTCCTCCCCCCGGAGGATGCGGCGCAGGGCGAAGATGACGATGTGCTTCTGGCCCTCCACGTGGATCACCCGCGAGAAGCAGTTGGGCTCGCACGAGTGGTTGATGAAGCGCGCGGCATTGCCATGCATGGTGGCGTCCACCACATCAAAGTCATCCATACGGAACATGTAGCACCCAATGCCCTGGGGAGGAGGGCAGGAGCCAGTGAGGACCTCCCTCCCAGCCCCTGGCCCGGGCCCAGGAGCCCCTCACCTACCTTCCCATCGTAGTACTTCTCCCTCTTGTCCGTGAGCACCGAGCGGATGACTATGCCCGAGTACTCGATGACCATCTCCCCGGCATCAATGTTGCGTTTACAAAACAAGCCTCTGCCGTGGATGGCCGATCTGCGTGGGGTGGGGGCATGATGTCATTTCAGGGGCTGTGCCCCCTCCTCCAAGGTGTGGCCTGCACCCCCCCCATCCCCGGCAGTGTAAGCCCACCCCTCACCTGTAGACCCCCACGGCCTCTTTGGACGTCTTCTTAAGGTGACGGAAGCGCATGGCCATGGGCAGCTCCAAACTGGTGGCACGCCTGGGGCGGGGGAAAGCATCAGCCAGATGTGCCAGGGCCCCGCGTGCTCCCGCTGCTCTCCTCTCCTCGGACCCGGGACCCGGCCCCCCGCCATGGTACCTGGTGGACCTGAGCTGCACCTCGTCCTCCTCCTCATCACAGGCAGCGCCCTCGGGCAGCACTCGGTGCTGAGATGCCAGGAAGTTGAACATGTCGAAGGTGCATTTCCTGAGGGGCAAGGGCAGAGTCATCTCAGCCTAGCCCGAAATGGCCACAGGGGCAGCCCATTCCTCAGAGACCCCGACCTCACATCTCACCGGAGGTAGACTTCTGCCCGGGCAGCCCCGTGGGGGTTCAGGGGAGGCTCTTCCTGCCCCTCCCCCTGCTGGTGGTATCGGAACTTGTAGTGGTGGCAGCGCTGGGCCCCTGGCAGCTGCTCAGCCAGGAAGATCACAGCATCGTGGTGGATCCCCAAGAGCCTCGCACCGCTCATCCCTGGGGGGGGGGGAAGGGGGCGGGGCGCAGCAGAGGGCCAGGAGGCATCACAAGGGGCTCCCTTTGCCCCCTTTACCCCACTCCATTCCTGCCTGCTCCCCACACCCCCCCAAACTCAGCAGACTCCTCCACCCCGTCCCCTCCTGTTTCCTGGTTAACTCCTCAGCAATTGTGTGCCACAGCCCCTCCTCCCCCAGACCCCAGGCTCACCACTGAAGGAGAGGTGCCTGAGCCGAGCATGACCTCGGGCCTCCTGGACCTTCTCAATCAAAGTCCGCCATGCCCCTGCAGAGATGGGATGATTAGCACCTGGATCCTGTCCTTGCTTGGGCCGCACCCCCCTCCCCCCCAAAACTCCCCCACCTCACCCTCCAGGCTCTCAGCTTCCACACTGAAGCCATCTTCACTGCTGATCTCAAAGCGCAGGTGGGGCCCTGCCCGCCTGGGCCCCTGGTTCTCCTTATCTTCAGGGGATGGCAGATCATCCTCTGAACTTGATGCCTCACCTGCCATCATAAGGAAGGGGCTTCCAATTAGGCTCCCCAAACATTCTGCGCAAGTCACTCCTCACTGGCCCACTTTAGATTGGTCCAGCCCTCCACACATGCCTTGATGCTCACATCATCCTCCATCCGCTGGAAATCCGCTACACCCTACTCCTTCCCAGGAAGCCTGCAGGAGGCCAGCTCCCGCCCCTAGGCAAGCACTTAGAGGCCAATGCCCACTTCTTGTGTTTTCATTTCCCTGGACAAACCACACCTGGGAGAAGGCTCTGGCTGCCAGTCCCCTGACCCTGCTGCAGGCAGGAGAGGGCTGCCCAGATGCAAGAGAAGAGGAATGCGGGCTATACCTGAGTAGTGGTGCCACTGGGGCTCAAGCAGCAGGTCTGGGGGGCTATCTGAGACCTTGGAGAAGCCACAGTCTGGCAGCGGTAGCAATGGGGACCGGTCAGGAAGGGTCCTGTGGAAAGGAGAGGTAGCTGGTCAGAGCACGAAGGGACAGAGGTCAAGATTCTTGGCAGCTGAGAAGAAGCAGGTCACTCACGGAGGACTTTCTCCCCCACTTGGTTCCCCAGGAGCATCCAGGTCAAGGACTCCCCGTACAGTGGGCGTTTTCATCCGTACTCTGCTCAATCTAGTTAAAAGGAATGCAGAGATTTGAAGAGAAGACCCACATGGCTGCCAGTAGCATCTCCCTCTTCATCCCTTAAACCACCCCCCACCTCCCAAGTTTCTTCTTGCCCCTGTCACCACTCACCCACTGCCCAAGGCCCCCACTGATTGGGGGGTACTCTCGGGGGATTCCCCCTCCCCATCCAGCCGGGGGGCCTTGTTTGGGGGGGGTGCTGAGGGGCTGCGGCCCGCGAAGGTCGACACCCTCTTGACTCGAATGGCTGGCCGGGGGGGGCTGGGGGGCCCACTGCTCAGCACCAGGGTCAGCGATGGGGGAGGTGGAGGTGGGGGGCGCACCACCCCCACCACAGGCAGCACACTCAGCAAGGGCCCAGGGGTGAGACCCCAGGCTGGGGTGGCAGTAGGAGGGGTTGGTGGGGGCCGTTTTGGCAGAGGTGGGGCTGGCTCACTCTCCCCTGCCATTTTCACAAACACCTGCCCCAGTTTGTTAACAAGAATGATCTTGGAGGCAGCAGTTTTGGGGGGTTCAGGGGCAGGACTGAGGCTTAGCACACGAACTCCAGGAGCCCCAGGAAGCCAGGCAAACGTCCGGGGAGGATCGGTTGGGGTAGGGAGTGGGGCGGGGGGGGCCTGGCTGCCATTAGCCAGTGATGGGGGTGGTAGGGGGGTCTTCACCAGGGCCAGCCCCACCCTCACCAGCTCCACCTAGGTTCTTGAGTACAAACTCCACAATTTCAGAAGGAAGGTCCTCAGGGGGCCTTGCCCCATCCCCTCCTCCCCCTCCTCCCCCTACCCCACCCACCCCTGGCCCTGAAGGGGGGGCTTCCTGGCCCCGGGGCTGCTGGACGGCCTCAGCTTCACTGTCTGTGCCATCATCCACTCCATCCAGCTGTTCAATTCTGGGGGTTCCAGGTATGGGACCAGGTGGCAGGACAGGCCCAGGCACCACAGTTGGGGGGAAGTGAATGTAGTGGGCAGCAGGGCCAGCCTCCTCCTCTGAACTATCCCCAGGGCCCCCCCGGCTACTTCCCCCAACCCCCTCTGCCACAATCTCCTCCTCCTGGAAGGGTTCAGACCCAAGCAGGCTAGCCGCAAAGTCCAAGTCGGCCGCACTCAACCCTGGCACCACCTCCATGTCCTCAAAGTCAGGGCCCAAGTCCTCAGGAGGAGGGGGTGGGGAGGAGGCTGGACCAGGGGGAGCCAGCTCCCCTGAGGTAGGCATGAGGGCCTCAAGGGCTGAGGTAGGAGGGGGCACCCTGAGCTGAGGAGTGGGCCTGGAGGGTGGAGAGGCCCATCGGGGTGGTAGCCGGGAAGCCAGGGGACTGGGACGGCGGGAACGTCTTGGGGGAGCTGGGAAGTCTGGATCACCGACTGTTGGGATGTGGTGAGACAGAGATGATGGGCTTCCTGCAAGGGAAAAGAAGATAGCAGGCTCCACGCTCTAACCCCAACATCGACACAGCTCACTCTTCCTCTCTTCATCCTTGACTGACCAAGCCCTTCTCTAGACTCCCCAAGCCCATCCCCTCACTGACCGCTGTACTGTTCATACTCACCAGGGGAAGGGAGTGGCCAGCAGGAGACACCTCCCAGGGGCCTTCGGGAAGGTGAGTAGTTGGGCACTTTGATTCTAGCCCCTGAGACAGATCGGGGGACTGGGGAAGGGGTGATGCTTTGCTCTGGAGGGGGTGGCAAGGGGCCTGTGTTCTGGGCAGGGGAGTAGCGCTCAGGACCCAGGGAAACTGTGTCAGGCCCTGGTTGGAGGGACTCGGCTCCAAGCAGCTCTGAAATAACATGACAGGTAACATTAGGGGAAGAGAAAGAGAAAATAGGTCCTTTGGGGGCAGGGGACCCACCCTCTGTTCATTCCTTTGCATCTTCCCCAGTGCAATCTCAGAGTCTCATTCTGCCCACTCTGAATGTTCCGAACTTCCTTCCCCTTTCTCTCACTACTCCCCAGACATGGGCAGCGCATCCCCTCAGGCTCCAGACAGTCTTCTCCCACGTTCTACCCTAAAAGAACTTCAGTGTATCCAAGTTACAAGGAAACTCTCTACTCTCCACCATCAGAACCACAGATACATCTTCCCCTCCTCAAGCTCATGCCCACAGCCCTCCTCCTCTCACCCATTTCTTGGTGGCCACACCATTCTCCCATTCGTAGGGCCTGACAGCTCAATGTCCTCTGCCTCCTCAGTTTTGTTGATTATGCCTCATAGCTTTTCTCACATCCACCCCATTTCTAGCACCAAAGCTACCCAGGCCTCTGGCCAGGCCTCAGCCCCTTACAGAGCTTTCCTCCTTGAATCCATCTCACGTAACACTGAAAGAATAATCACTCAGAAGTACTAATGGTACTGCTGTCATCACATCCTCTCCCTGCTCAATAAAATTCCAGGCTTCCTACTAAATCACTCAACGCCAGATAAATTCCTGAATCTGGTATTCAGGGCTTTGGACAACCTGGCTTCTTCCTACTTTTCCAGATTTATTTCCTCCCCTCCCCAAAACACCCCTTCCATTGCCGCCAGGTTGTCTCTGGCTGTTACAGACAGTGCCACC